TACCTCAAGCATGAAAAATAACTCTACCATATATACAAGTCTACCATAAGCACCTCATATGTCTACCAGATCGAGGTTATCTTTATACCTTAATTAATCTACCACATGATTATTTTAAGAAGTCTACCATACGTACGATAACTCTACCAGATTACATAAACTCTACCAAACAAACAAACATATCTACCAATATTCTGTAAGTCTACCTCATGTAACAAATAATCTACCACTCACTGGAATAAATTTTACTTGAATTTAAATCTACCACAAAACAAACACATCTACCACAAAACAAATAAATCTACCAACATTCTGTAAGTCTACCTCATGTAACAAATAATTTACCACTCACTGGAATGAATTTTACTTGAATTTAAATCTACCACAAAACAAACATCTCTACCACAAAAGCGGCTCTACCATAAAACAGATATATCTACCATCACGTATTGACACATAAATCTACTGCCAAAGGACATAAGTCTACCAACTCAGAAAATAAATCTACTTCATTGTCAATAAATCTACCGAAAAAGTCAACTATGCGAGAAAGTCAACGCTTTCTTTAACAAGTCTACCAACACCTTTGACAAGTCTACCATTCATAACAACAAATCTACCGAAACATAATAAATCTACCTCTCATCGTCAAAACTCTACCAAGATAAGTCTACCAACATTTGTAAACTCTACCAACTCTCGAATAAATCTACCATCGACCTAATAACTCTACCGACAAAATTTTTGCGTTGACCAAAATTTGATAAGTCTACCGTCAAAGCCTGGTAGACTTATCAAATTTTCAGCGCTATAATCTGCCTACGTGGCATTAAAAAAGTAATGGCATTTTCGTAATTAGGTTTTTTTAACAAAGGCAAAAATGGTGTTTTGGGTATGCTATGTTAGTTTTGTAAAAAAAATAAAAGTGCGCCAAACAAATAATATAGATACTTTCTAAGGTTAGTGTAGTAATCCTCCCTTAAATCTATTGCTTAGTAAAAGAATTTTAATACAAAGAATTGTAAGTTACTTAGTTACAATACATTTTTAAGAAATTTAACTTGAAAACAACGTGTAAAAGATTTAAAGGGATTCAGATTAGTGAACGCTTCGAGTTTGGAACTATATTTGGGCAAGGTTTCAAAGCAACGGTTGATCTGGGTTTTATTTTTTCGTCGGTGAGGCTAAATGTTATAGAATTGTAACCCAATAAATGCAAAATGAAATCGGCCCACACTTGCTTAAGGCCTTGAATAATAAGGCCTTCAAAAGTCAACTCACTTGACGGCAATAGGTTGAACCTGGACGAGTCCACCGTTGGAAACGTGGATCGGGGTGTATCTGAATTGAATACGTGGAACTCAGACAAAGTAACAGACACACTGCAGGTTTTACTTCTCCAAAAGTTTTAGAGAAACCCAATACACATTTTCTCACAAAACAGTTTAATTGAGATTACAAACCCATTAATTGTATCTCCATTTTTCTAGAAATTTAACTTATGTCAATAAAACCATGTATTTTTTTTAATAAAGTTGAAACTTATTGGTTCAAGAAATCGTTAACATGTTTCGAAAAAATAGAAAAAACTGAGAGCTTAGTAAAAAAGAAGAAGAGACAACACCAAGGATGAAGGATTGTTGCTTACTTGCTTGGTAACATGAGCTGATATCAACTTGAGATTTGGTAGCCAATAAATATGAACTTTGAATTTCGAGAGAGCAAAACACGGCCTGAAATTTTGGACCCCATCCATTTAATTATTATGCTTATATTAAATTACTTCCATCATTCCTTTTAATGAATTTTTATATAGTACTACTTGTGGTGGGGATTGTGATGGTCGAATTTTGTATGCCTAAACTTCGAGAATCATCGAAACACTATCGCATCTAGAAAAATGAATATTGTTTTTATATGTTAACAGATGCTAAGAAATTGTAACAAAAAGACAAGAAAAGTGAAAAATGAAAAATATATTAAAATGGAGGGATGATGAGGTTGATTATAATTATATATTAATTAAATGGCTACTGGTAACTGATACAATAGTTCGAAGCTTCGTTGAGATTTTCATACTGATGCAGAAAGATTAATCTCGATGTTAGAGAGTTGACAACTGTTTTGTTTTCACTATTGAATTTTATAAAACAAATAAAATGATCTGTCCTTATCTTACCGTTGTCATTAACCGCTAAGTTATGCAACTAATTAGTAGACATACGTGCTTGTTACATAATTAAAATATGTACATGTGCTCGCTCTTTAACTCCTTATTTTAATTTATTTTCATTCTATATGCGCTAAGGTCACTCACACATACATATTCATTAAGTTACTAATGTCTGAATGATCTCTCTCTCGGAATGAGGATTAGCTTGAAACATAATTAAAATTTGAAGCTTAAAACATAAGAAAAAAAAAATAGCCAAAATAGGATAGATATAAAACAGAAGCTGGAGAACCAAAAAACACACAAACACACAAACAAACAAACATACTGTGAAAGACGATTGAAGGTGAATTTGTAGGTGTGATTATATAGGGGGTAGCCACTTGGGAACAAAATCAGCGTAACACGAAGAAGCAAAAGGTGGAAGATGCTATAATTGAATCCTAACCATGGTTTCCTTTTGTTTTATTTTTGTTTTGTCGTTCTACTTATGTAAACGAAGTCGTATTTAGAAAACCTAAAAAAAAATTAAAATTCTAAATCGAATTCTAAACTGGAAACTGAGCGATTAGGACGATTTTGGCCGAACCTCTGGACCAAAATTCGTAGTTGGCTCGCCGTTTTTAATAAATTTATATCACCTCTGTTGTTAAAAAAAAAGTTATGAGCGCTAAAGGTGATCGTTTAACATTGAAATATAACACATTTAAAGTTGAAGTCATCTACATTATATAAGTTTATTAACAAATGATATAATGCACTTAAAATTAGACAGGTCAGCAAAGTGGCAATGTTATTTTATATTGGAAATGATAGGAAAGTGATAGAAATTTGGTTTGAGCCACTCATTCCACATTCTGCATTGCAAAGACATTCTTCTCATCATCTCGGCCCTGAAGTTCCCTCAAGATTTCATTTTACTTTTTTTTGCTTTATTTTATCTTTTACCTCTTTTTAGTTTGTTTTTTTTTCATTTTCGTTTGCTTCTTTTTATCGCAGTTCCAATATATACGAAATATTATATAATATCAGTTCTTGAATTTTCAGTTTTCACGTTTAGAGTTCAAAAGTTTTCCAATGATAAACGTAAGCAGGAAAATAGGTGTTCATTTTCTTGCGCGTTTATCTAAAATCAGTTGAATCTCATATTCTTCTCAAATGAGCATCATCAATGCAAAAATAAATCCGAGCACTGTCAAAATCTGAGTTGAGTCGAGTGCTACTTTTGCCAAGGAATGATTTATTCATTTGGATCTACCACAAAATTTATCGAAGATTATGTCACAATCCATCCATTGCTATGTGACATTAAAAAAATATATCTAATGCTAATTCTGGAAAATGACAACTCTTGTATATATCTGTCATAAACCAAAATCTTTAAACAAACTGGAAGAATATATTAGATCCAGAACTTAATTGTTGATAAAAGCATCAAAGTATTAAGCTATGCGACATAAATTTCGGTTTTTCGTTGTTGTCCAAAAAGTCTACTAATGCCTCAGACACACGAAACCAAGGAAGCATGAGATAGCAAAAACAGAATGCAAAGCTAGTTTTAGAAGCGAATCCGCTTTAGTGTTTCTAGTTAACCATATTACAAATCAAATTTCTTTCCGTATTCATAGTGTCGTTTGAGTCCTTAACATTCTATTCTATTTACCATTTTATGACCTTTTTTAAAAAACAACAACAAATTATATATTTTAAGAGTATCGGATTTACATTAAATCATAGTAAATATAGTTTTTTTTTTTACCAAACGGTTTTAGATGACTCTACCTATTATCGGTACTTTTTATTTGTCTTTTTAAATAGTTTAAATTCTGTCCGATTCATGTCTTACATGGATTTTCAACAGTTAATATTATATATATATATATCTATATATGTATATATGTTGAAATTAAAATAAATAAATAAAAAAGCAAAGATGCGCGGCCTTTTTAAAAAGGATATCATACAATATTTTCCAATGTTACAAAAAAACATATTCTCAATTTCTGGGTATTTTTTGCAGTCACAATTATTTTTGGATTTACTATGAATCAAGTCTCTTATAAAACAAAAACCTGCCATATGTCATACAAATAAACGACAGTAAAATTCAAAATCAAGGGCTAAGATAAGATCTATCAAAAACACAATGTCAGAGATTAATTAAATTATACATGTTCATTAGCTATTTTGGACAATTACCCTTATATTAATATTTTTTTCTATTTTTTCTGTGTGTAAAATATAGATTACGGAGACAATCTCGTAGGATTGTGTCACAGACTTACAGTCCCACATGTCTCATCTTAAAGCCCAACCTGCCGTTGAAGCGAAGATCTTCGCTGTTTCCCCGTTTTCGCATATCCAACGTTCAAACAAGGTTTAATTTTTATATTAATATACTAAACTTTGTCTGATCCGTTTCACAAAAATGCCAAAATTTTGCAGGAGAGAATACTGTCTTAATAAATAGGTTGCATGTTCACCATAGTATCCAGAATTAAACTCCATGACCAATAATCAGATCTAGTTCCATTATATATTTACGTTTTCACCATAGTATAAAATTAATTTAAATGAATATGTTGTTTTCATATGCAATCTATAATTATTTACTATAGACTATACTTATACTTATTTTTTAACCTTAATGTTATTAATTTTATGGGCTCTGCATGTTGTGTCAAAAACTTAGATCAAAATAACCGGACATTTTTTTTTATCAAATATTAAATGGTCCGATCGAACTATCATCATCCTACATAACCAAAAAAAAAAAAAAAAATTCCACATGATTAAGAAAGAGTTTAATGAAATCTAAAAAGGTAAGCGCAATGCGTATCAATACAATATTCAGGGTAGCTATTGTTACGAACTTACGATTATGCACAAAATTTAATTAAACTAAAAACAATTGAAGAAGAACCAAAGAAAAGCATTCTAAACCAAAATGTCTTTAGTCTTCTCATCCATCTCTAACAACGAAGACAACGGCAAGAAGCGTACGGATGTCGACGAAGTGTCATCCGAGGAAGAATACGAAGAACACGATGTGTAGAACGACAAAGGAGACGACGGAGACTCGCCAAGATTCAAACTATTACAACAAGAAGTGCTTGCTTCTCCGGTGGCGCGTGAGGCCAAGACGCCGTCGTCTTTGGCAATGTTGTTATTGATGGGCTTATTCGTTTGTAGTGCTAAGTTCAAGAGGAGATCGACGAAAGCGGCGAAGATGTATCGATGGCTGGTCTTGGCGTTGACTTCCAAGAACTGGAAGAGAAGCTTCTCGAGGCTTCTCCAGTCGTGGTGAAGGGCGTGTGCCTCAACCATCTCCTCCATGGATCTCTTGAAATCAGAGTAAGGGTCGTTTGATTCCAAGGACAAGAGCATGAAGCCTTCCTCCTCCTCTTCTTCTTCTTCTTTTTCTTCTTCTTGTTTTCTCTTAGTCGTAGCTTCTTCGAGTATAGAGTTGGATTCTCCTTTGCTTTCGAAGATGAGTCTCTCTGATGATCTTAGCCCTTTTATCACATTCTCTAACGACTCTGTAATCTCAGGTGGGTCGAGCTCAGGTGAGTCGAGCTCGTCGTCTTCTTGGTCATGGATAGGGTTGGTGAAACTGATGGTGGCTCTGAAAGATATGGTTTTAGGGTTTTGATGACAAGAAGGCCATGGCCATGAAGTGGAATTAGATGATGATGGAATGGAATTCGAATTTGAAGAACATGAGAATGAAGAGTTATTCTTGTTTAGAAATGGGAGTTTCATTTTCTTCTCCTTTTCTTTTTTGACTGGGTTTCTTGAGAGAGGAAAAATAGGACAAGAAAATAATTTTCTTTATTGTTTGTTTGTTTGGGGATTGGATTCAAAATAAGAAACTGAAGGAGTTAATGGAGTATGAGGGAGGGAAGATTTTAAGGGTTTGAAGGGGGAAGAACAGAGAGGATTGGTGGGGTCTATTTTTTTACTTATTTTAACGTCTATATATTTAAATTTTATATTTTCTTTCTTCTTTTATTTGGTTGTTGTATTAAATTAATGGCTTCAAAATTTAATGTTGTTTGGTTGGGGTTCATTCAATATAATTCAGTACCTTTTCCCGGTTAAGTTGTTTTCGTATTTATTATAATGAATGATACTATTTCTTGGTTTCGTCTTCCTTTCTCAGAGCTTTTAATACTTTTTAAAAAAGGATTTAAAACTTTTTGAAAGGATACGAAAAAGGTTCATTTTATCATTTCAAGTGTACATCACAAATTATTGGGTTTGCATCCGACTGAATTTTTTGATTTTGTTTATTAAAATTCGACAAACATCGTTCACTGTGCATTATAGATGAATATACAGACAACTGGAAGAAATTTTATATTATTAATTATTTTGAAAGTTACCTAAGTGTCAATGATCTCTGTTTCAAAAAGATAATTGAAGCTTTCCGTACTAGGGGACTACAATTGTAAATTGCACGTGGCAAGAAACGTAATCGTTATTTCTAAAGAAAGACAAAATATTAGGTCACATTAAATTTTGGTCCATAAACAATTAAGAAAAAGTGTAAAAAACAATTCACATTTTAATTTACTTCCATATTGAATTCACCTCCAAAGGTAAGCATCAATATATAATTTTCATTTTTTTCTCCAGAGCATTACAGACAAATATATAATGCGGATATAGCAAGACGATCTCCCTGTTAAATGAATTGAAACTCGACATCTCTTTTAATTTATCATTTCAAAAATGGCTCAAAAAATTATATTTCAAATAAATATTATTTGGTTGAATGTAATTGTATACGCCTAATAGGATAATTAATGATTTTAACATCTATGATTATTGTACTAATAGATAAAAATAAAATATAATAAGTATTAGTGACTTATAAGAATATATGAGGAAAATAAAAATTGCATTTGAAAATACAAAACATCGCGTACTTTGTAACAAAAAATAATATGAAAAACATCACTTAATTAAGAAAAAAATAACTCCAGTGTAGTTCTCTAAATCAATTTGTTTTATTATTGTTTTCGCGAAAACCAAAAGTGGATCAAATACTTTTTCTGGATTCATTGTTTTAAAACATAAATGTATAGAAATTTAAATTGAAACCATAAATCATAAAAGGTTGGTCCGCATGATTTTTTTGGAAGATCCGATACTAATAATTAAACGAAAAAGAAACAATCTCATAATACGAAACAATACTATAGACTTCAAACATAAGTCAATGATTTAAATGGAAAAGAAAAGACGGAGAGATAATAATGTAGAAATACTCAACAACCAATTAACCCAACGAATCAACCAACTAACTGACCAACAAACAAAAGATATGACGTCGATCTTAAGAAACTGTGTAAAATGAGACAATATCACGAACTTTGCAATTATTTTGTATTTAAAATTAATTGTCAATGCACGTCTCCTCCCCGAATTGGAAACATATTTTGTGTTTCTCTTTCATTGAAACTGCATGCTCGCACCTGAAACCTAATTACATATATTTATGTCGTATTTAAACTACTATTATTTTATTTTATAAATATCAACTACACTTATTGTTCAGATCGTTTAACTTTGAGGTGGGAATGAATCTTCCATAAAAATAGTATATTTGAATTTTTTTGCTACGTAGAACGCAGTAGATCACATAAAATTCATGATTAGGAGGAGTTAACTTAATAATCATAGATCGTATCGGTGAATTTATATATTATAGAAGGCAAAGCCATGTGAGTCTCTCCCGATTCCATTTTGCACGTACCTTTCATTCACGTGCCTCTCACGCGTCGCCAGTAAAGAGATTGCGACACGGGAGGGAGAGATATCTCTATCGTTATCATATCTATATTAAAAGTTTTAAACCATCTAATTAATAGACAAACAAATAATATTATAGAAGTAGAAGCTTCGAAATAGTTATAGAATTATAACCAGAGATGTTAGAAAAATCATGTGGATTTTAAAAAACGAAGATAATGATTGATAGCTGTATGTCTTCTTAATTATAATTATGCCATATGCTCATGGATGCTTCGCGTGGCGTTTCCTTTACTAATCACATTTTAATTAAATAATAATATTCATTGCTCTTAGCTAACTTGGTCCGTAGATTAGGAGTATTAACCCTTACGTCATACAAAAGATGCCATACTATATGGATCCTGTGTTGAAAAGATTTCAATATGTATTCACGAACCACGAGAGATATCAAAATCTTATGCAATTTTCAATTTGTTCTGTTTTCTTTTTCCACGAAAGCATCTATTTTTATTTTTATAAAATAAACTGTTTGTTACACAATTTAAAGAACTTTTTTACACACAAAAAAGAGAGAGAAGAAACCATGCATGGTAAGCAGCGAACATAACAAAACGTTGAACAATCACACATTTTCATGAGTTGGTATTTGGATTGACAGTATTCACCAGAGCTTGGGGTAATTGGGAGCGTTGAAAGTCTTAGAACTTCGAACTTAAAACTATAGGTCGAAAAATGTTTGAGAGCTTATTGCCGAATTCTGATGAAGGTTGCAGAGTTGGAAGGTGACAATGTTTTCTTTTAATAACTATCGAAGGTCAAGTCGCGAAAGATCATACTCTCAAGTTCATAAAGTTAAATATAATAATGCGTGATTCATATTACCATCAATGATTTTTTTTTTCCTCCATTACCATCAATGATTAAGTCGCGACAGATCGTATTTTTAGGTTCGTAACTCGTAAGGTTCAACTCGATATAGCGTGATTCGAATGCGAGGTGCTCCAAAAAAAGAAAAGTATTACCAATATTTGGATTTTTCTAATGATTTTCAGCCCCTTCGAATATACTTTCTATTATGACTAAAAATTAAAATTGGTAGAACTAAAAAAAATATTCGTTATGGAAGTTTGAGGGTGGTGAAAGAGTAAAAGAAAGGGACCATTTGGTGGGATGCACCAGCTGAGAGAATGTGGTCCATTTCCTACCAAATCTCTTCTCCTTCTCTCTGCATCGCTATATCAAAATCATGATTCCTTTTTAGTAAATTACAAACTCTATATAGTAATATTATCCTTAACTTAGCTCACCAATTTTGGATATATTGAGAAACACCGTTTTCTAATATCCAGTCTAAATAAAAATTATGTAAATGTCGTTAATTAACTAACTACTTTGTTTCCATATAATTTGAACAATGTGATTATTTCTATCAATGGTTTTAGTCCGGAAAAAATGATAGATCGAGTTATAACTTCTCATTCTAATATGGTCTATGTATCTATGTATCTTTTATTGGGATTTGGAACGAGGTTTTAACATCAAAAGTTATCCTGAAACACACATGTTGTAACAAAACACACATGTTGTAACAATAATTGAGATACATCGATATCTTAAGGCATTATATATATAATGTGATTGTTTTTGGGTCCATGAAATTGCAGCGACGTGACTAAAGTAGTGAGGAGGGGACAGTGTGTTGGTGTTACGAATATGAAAGATATAATATTTGTAGCTCAGAAGTTGGAGAATGTCATGTTACTGTTTTGGATCTTTGAATATAAAAGAATATGATTAAATGCTAAGACTATCGCTTTCAAGGAGTGTAGGCCCAATCTTATCTGACTATAACCCTTATTTCCTTGGGACCATTGTTGTCTTCTCTCTAGTGGCGCTAATGGACATATATGTAACTCATTAGAGTGTTCCATCTTTTGAAAAATATTTAAATCTAGAATGTTTTTGGTGCTTTAAGATCAACATTTGAAAGCAGTCTCAGTATGTTTTTGCCAAAATGAAGAGAGATGATGATGATTATGCGTTAGAAATTATAACCAATGTGTTGTGGATCTTGCATTCGTAGTATCACCAAAACTTGATCAAATCACTCACATACTATGTTGTCCTTATAGGAGTGTGTACGATTTGGCATTAATAACATAAACATGAGAAAATCAGGCAAGACTGTAAGAGGAAGAGAATGTACAAACACCATGTAACGAGTTCGTGTATCATTCTAAGAATCCTACGTCTTGGTCAAGCGTCTCCTAAGTCCTAACCATCTACTAAATAACACATACCCGACTCGACCCAAAAAATGTAAAAACATTAATTGGACCTTACGGACAAGCATATCTTGTATCCTTTTAGGATAAAAAAAGTTTTGTATCCAAAAAAATTGGACACGGGCGCCTGACCTTGACACCTCTGCTCACACGAGCTCAAAGAACAACTCGATAAGCTTGGTTACAGTTGGGTGTAATCTTGCGTTTCTTTCCTTTCATATTTCATATATTTCATATTTATAAGTAACAGTTTACAAATAACATATAACTTAGAGTTGGAGAAAGCAGACTTGGACCAAGTAACAAGGCTATCAATAAGTGAAGGAATGGTCGGAATTGGGTGTGTGAAAAAAGTAGCCCAAACTTGAACCGCATAAGTGCAATAAAAAAAGAGGTGCGATCGAGATTCCAAGGCAAAATTACACAACAAGCAAATATTAGGAACTTGTGATCCACAACTCTAAACTCTATCACGAATAAGTAATATATCTCTCTCTGCCACCGGTACATAAAAAGTGTTTGGAAATTATCAGCGAGAACCAAACTGATTTCTCCCAAGGGACAAACCACTCGAATGCATGGAAGATCAAGTCTTCGAAGCTAAAAACATGATCACGGTACTCCAAGCATAGTATCTCTCCATTTCAATTCATCAATAGACAAAGTTTAATTCAAACTCAACTTAGGAGGCAGAGCAATCTTCAACAATAAATTAATAGGATGCCTACTCTGGGAAGAAGCCAAAACACCGTAACTCACCACTTGAGGGACAATAGCAAAGCGAAGAATTTCCATGATTCTTGGCTCATTAGCGCCAATAAGACAATATGTGGTTGGTTAATTTCTAAAATCAAGCCAAAAATAAAGAATGTTCTATAAATAAAAATACTACAGTCTGTAGTATACTTAATTTAGCCACTCGTTATTACTAATTAGTCTGTAGTAACCATCCATGTAGATAAACACACATGCATATTCCTTTAATGAATTAAAAAAAAAAAAATCTGATTAAAGAACGAAGGATGCTACATATTACCAAAGCAAGAATCAGAAGAAATTCGTCCGTACCTTCCGTTGAATGAAGAGCACATGGGTGCATGGCTTGTGGATGGACCCAGCTGCGTTCTGTATGTATGCATTCCTTACTTCCTTACATTATATTAAACTTTTTTTTTGTTATAACTATAATTTATGATGATATAATATCATTGATTCATCGGTTGCTAATGATTCGGTCGATTTCCTTTTTAGATATGATATGAAATGAGGTGGCGAGATTCATGAACCGCGTGGTTAGTAGTGGCGGAGACAAAAAATTTCTTCATTGGGGGCAAATAGAGGTATACACAGATTTATAAGTGGGGGCATTAACATAGAACTTACTAAAATACACCAGTTTTTTAAATCTTGTTGGGGTCAAATGCCCTCATGTTGTTAATGTGGCTCCACCACTGGTGGTTAATTATGTATGGAGACCTCGAAAGTCATTTACAAAATTTCAACTTAAGTACTTTTGGTTCTAATCACTCTTAATTCAACTTTTCTTGCTTAACATTTAATGACGAAAATCTGTCTACCATGTAGTCCATGTACCGTCTACAGGTGTACATGTCGTAGTGTACATGGACTAAATCGTTATAAATAGTAATTAAAATGCTAAAAAAGCTATGAACAGTAATTCCAGATAGTAATTAATTTGAGGGGGTATCTTTAACTTAAGTCTTATCGGCGTTCAAGTGACAGTCATTTTATCATGGGCCGATATATAAGCCCAATGCCTGCTGTAACGAATTCCCGATAATTTTCACCTCACTCCAATACTCCAAACATCATAGCCATCATTTCTTCCGAAGAATTGATTATGGATAATTTTTTGATAATACACCTTAATTGCAAGTAGAAGTATACTGTCTAAAGAACGCAAAATGGAAGAATGTTGAATTCATCATGAACCACAAAGTGTGTAGAACATAGAAGTGAACTCTACGAAGGCTACAAATTGTTAACCATGAAATAATTCAAGAAATTCTACCAACAAAAACGTCAAGCATTTTACAAGCTAATTTATGAGGAAAAAAAAATGCACGAGGAGCTTAGAAGTAACCTAGCTTGGGCCTTGATCATAAGGTTTGAACAAATGTTAAAGAGCTCAAGTAGAAGAGTCAGATCTTCAATTGCAGTGTTCTTGAGCAGAAGATGAAGAAGCATCGGTTTTCGAAACCAGCCCGAGTTCCTCCTCAAGTTTCTCCCACTCATCCAAGAAACTAGGAGGGAATTCATTCTTGGCGGTTCTAATCAGCCCATTGGCGTCGTTAATCTTCTTGTTCCTCACCAATCCCACAACCAAATGCTGCAACGTATCGAAATCCGGAATCTTGTGCACATACACGCTCTTCTTGAACACCGCGTAGCCTTGCTCATACAAACCGCTGCAACACAGGTGAAGTATCAATGTCCTAAAAGTAGCTACATTGGGAGCAACGCAGATGTTTCCTTGAAGCCCATCAAACACTTTTTCAGCTTCATCGAACATTCCTTTCTCGCAATACGCGGTCACAAGACAGTTGTAGCTGATCGTATCAGGTTTCAATCCCATATTGCTCATTTCTTGAATCAACTCCAAAACTCTTTCAGGGCTCTCTTTTAGAGCAGCATTCATTAAACGAACATTATATGCTGAGTTATCCATTACTTCACAGCCTTTCTTCTTCACCATCTCATTCCACAGGTTCTCTGCTACCTCGACTTCACCTTTCAATTTCATATACAAGGAGCTCAAAATAGTGGTCAAGGCAATGGTGTTGACGCCTTGTTCTTCACCTTCCTCCATCTGTCTCATCATAATCTCAATGGCTTTTCCATGCAAGCCAGCCTCGCAGTATGACTTGATCAATATACCATAAGAGATTTTGTCAGGGCTGAGGAAGGTGTTGAACGAAAGTACAGATCTTGGTGTCCATTTTATATCCGAGAAGAAAGTTCTCGAGGCGTGACGCCACAAGGATGCTCGACCGTAAGATCTGATTAGGGTAGAGAAGAAAAGTTCTTCATTGTAGTATATTGCGTTATTTCTCTGCTCATCGATTAGGGTTTCGAGGTCTGAGAAAGCCACTCGAATCGTCGTCGTGATCGTTTACTTTCCGGATCTTGTTTGGAGACGGAGCAGCCGCCTTTACGGTGGTGGTTGTAGCATCTCCGGCGGATGTGGTGAAGCAGCGGCGAACATAGCGGAGACAGAGACGAGATGAACAAGAATTGATTCTCGAGCTTCTTCTTCCTTTTTTCTGGATCCTTTTCTCTTTCTGTTGTAACCTATATTATACCTGCGACAAGAATTGATCAACAATTCAACATTAGAGCATCTGTAAGGACGGTTTGAGGAGAGTTTTTGGGTGGGGTTCATGAATTTTTTGCATTTAAAATAAATCAATAAAACCCAATTTTTATAGAACATGTTCTAATTTTAAGACGTTTAAAACCTAATTTTTATAGAGCGGGTTTATGGGAGGTTCTCTTTTTCTCTTTCATCTATTCTCCTTTTTTCTCTCTTTCTCTCTCAAGAGAGAAATAAAACCCAACACGGAAGAATCGATTCGTCCGAATTACTCTGAAGAGTTCGCCTCTTATCCAATTGGCATAATATGATTGGCGAATATTAAAAGGTTATCCAATTGGCATAATATGATTGGCGAATATTAAAAGTAATTTTAAGGGAGAAAACACATATTCTGGAACCAAATTCATTTGTTTTTTTTTTTTCGCGACTCTTTCTTTCTCTCTTCGTCTTCTCCACCGATTGTTGATCAACTGCTGCATCCGAGCGTCGTTTCTGTCGAAGGGTTACTACCTCGTCCTCGTCATCTCATCCGGCCCGGTTCTCATCCAAAGCTTCGTCGATTTCACTTCCGGCAAAGGATCCTCGCTGTTGCAGGGTTACTACCTCGTCTTCATCCTCCTCCTCGCAAAATTCGTCGAGGTCTCGTCCACTCACCAGTTCAGTTTCAACTCCCAGAAGCTGGGGATGCTCGTCCTCATGCTCATATTTTATGCAAATCGACAGCACTTTGACCTAATTAACCGCGGTACTGTATCATCTTATTCACTTATGTTCTTGCCTCTCTGTTTTTTCTTTCTTTTTTTTTTTATAGCTTTGAATCTTTGTATCCTCTGAACACGACGCAGCTACGCGAGTATATTGATGGCACAGAGGACTACATTAACATATAGGTAACCAAAATGAAAACTTTTTTTTTTCCCTGGATGTTATGAAAATGTATTCTCTCTCAATGCCTAATGTAAACTAAAATCATCGTTTGCTTTTTGCAGCTAGACAAGCATCGAAATGACTTGATTCAGGTGAGTGAATATAGAAGAAACCTCAAGATTGATAAAATTCTATCTCATATTCTTTTTTTAATGTGTCTAAAAAGTACCCTGAAACTCTGCAATTAGAGCTTAGCTCTATAACCGTCTGTGTATCAGTGGCCTCTCTGATCGCAGGAATATTTGGTATGAACATTCCCTACACATGGAACGACAACCACGGATACATGGCGGCAACCAATAAGATGCTCAATTACATGAGAGTGATCAAGTTTCAAGCTTGGGAAGATCATTTCAACGAGAGGATTCTCAAGTTTAGAGACATGGAGTTTGGCTGGCTATCCAAGTTTCTCTACTCCATCGCTGGGAACGTCATCATGCTGTGGAGCACACCGGTCTTGATCTTGGCGCTCACTTTCACAACCGCTGTTTTCTTGGGAGTTAAGCTAGATGCAGGAACGGTTTTCACCACAACCACCATTTTCAAGATACTCCAAGAACCGATCAGTTAACCTCAGTGGAGGTCAGAAGCAGAGGATACAGCTTGCCCAAGCGGTTTATCAAGAAGCCGACGTGTATCTACTTGATGATATCTTTAGCGCCGTGGATGCTCATACCGGTTCAGACATATTCAAGGTAAGCACTAAATTATTTATGTCGATATAATCAGTTTGTTAAAACCAAAACTATAAAAAACTGATTCTTTGTTTCTTTGTGATGATGTTGATGTGTCTGCAGAAATGTGTAAGAGGAGCATTGAAAGGAAAGACTGTCTTGCTTGTAACTCATCAAGTAGACTTCCTTCACAACGTTGATTGCATCTTGGTACGGTTCGACGGAACAGAAGATTTTTAAAAACTTGTTGAGTTTGTGATTTAGGATTTTGCTAATGTGTGGTTCCATTTTACATTAGGATTTTGCTAATGTGTGGTTCCATTTTACAGGTTATGCGAGATGGAATGATTTGCACTTCAACGAGATATGTTTTGCACTTGCTAGCACAATTACGGCTGGTGGGGATTCTTGTTGTCTTCTTCTCCATTTTACATATAAAAAAAAATATTTTATTTTTATTATTGATGAACTCTGTTTTGGGGTTCATTAATAGACCAAAAAAATAAATAACTCAAGTTCTTCTTTAAACTCAAAATCAAAAAAAATTATTATAATATTTTGATGAACTCCTAAAAAGAGTTCACCAATGGACATGGTCTTATATCACACAGCTTTCAAACTCTTTGATATTATAATGGATGTGCCGAGCGGAGCCCTGCCTACGTTAATGACGGCCGAAAGCGATTAATTTTTTGTTTTTTTGCAAAGATAAATTAAAGTCTTAAAATATCTATATTGAAATTATTGAAATTATGGTAAACTAGAGATTAAATTACAAAAATTGTATGACACACCAAATAATATTAGAATTTTTTTTTTAAAAGTATTCATTAAAATAGTTGAGTATATCATAAAAATGTAAAGTATTTGCCGAGACTACCCTTCAAAGATAGTGGAACTCGTAAATCGAGTGTTGTGCGATTGTGTTTGATTCGATTATAAACTGAGTCCAGGGTGGAAGCAAAGATAATTGTTAATTTAATTAGTTTTGGTAAAAATTACCTTTTAAAAAACCTGAAAAGTTTTATTTAGGTACTAAAGTTTCTGTTAATATATCATTGGTCAAGACATTTCAGTAGATTAAATTAAGATAAATGTAGTTTTCAAAATTTTTTAAAATGGTATAGTGTGTATTTTTAGAAATCATTGATATTTTAGACTACGTTTTTTACCAAACTTCTCGATATATAGATATAATGGTTGATATGATATTATTCTAAGTTCTAACTAATATAATTTAACAGATAACTTCCGAATGGAACTTTGAATTCTATACATTTGCTAACTATTAGAAAATATTCTGTAATACATTTTTAAGTATAAAAAGAAGAGAGTGAAAATTGAGAAAGGTCAAAAGAAGAATTAATACGATTTACTTTAAATGATACAAAATGAAGGTTGTAAAATTAAGGGATCAGCATCTAAAACAACATGACAGGGACCAGAAGTGAAGTGTTTGATTTTTTAATTATTATTCTTGTGTGCTTCTCGTCTGGTGTACATCTCCTGTGAAACTTATGTCCTGCAAAATAAAATAAATATTTTAGTATATTAACAAAAGCGCTTAATTTCACAATCCCTTGCAAAGGTATCAAATATACTTTCCATTTTATTGACTTGTTTAGTCAAGATAAACATATATTAGGTGTTAGGCGTAAAAAATCTCACTTATCTATGATAATATGTCTTTGGGGAAGGTGGAATGGAAGCGTGGAAATTCAGGAAGAAAATATGTCTTTATTATTGAAGCGGCATCTCATGGAAGATGGGTCCAAAATCCATATATTTTCGTTGTCAAAGGGTAGGTATATTGTGACGGTACTAAAAACCAATAATATATGTGGGAACAAGACATATATATATATATATATACATACATTAATATGCCTATATATATACATCTACGTAGACACGTAAGATCAACACATCAATAATGCCTGTTCGTGTATAAAATTAAAGATTAGGTGTAGAAGAAAAGTTTGACGGAATTGCCAAAATTATTGTTCATGAAGACTAAAGTGCATATGATATAAATGGAAAACGTGAATGCCTAGCAATAACAAACTAACAATTATTACACTAATAGTAACAATAGTAGTAATAATATTGTAACAATAATGGTCATAGCAAAAAGAAAAAAGAAAAAATAGTTACAATAATGGACCGCACTTTTTTTGGATAAGTTTTAGATAGACTACTACTCGGCGTGATATGTTAACAGTACTCACTTTTCTTCTGTCCTCCTAAGAAAGAAAAATACCATTTATTTGCTTTGTTTTCGTAGCTCTAAATACATTGAAATGTAAAGATAAAATAAACGAATGATTTGTTCGACCAAAACTAACGGAGTAAACGAGTGATTTGAGAAAAAAAAATTATAGGGCACAAATTAATTAAGGACGTCGAAATGTATAGTATAACGCCAGGTTATAAATAGAAAAAGGGTCAAACCAACTCATAAACTTTATCTGATTATGAAAACACGTTAACAAGAAACTTAAAACGTCGGTTTAAATGATATGGACAGTTACTTCGATCTTTAACTACTCTACTTAGACTTTAGCAAAAGAAAATATAATAAGTTATTTTTATTTCTTATTTAAAATAATAGTTGAAACGTACCATGAAGTACGGAGGAGGATAGTGTTGTTGTGGGTAGAAATGAAACTGGTCGTGACTGGTTGGACAGGTGGTAAAACCGTCAGGTGTGGATGGCTCGGACCAGTCTGAGTCTAGCTGGCACTCCATGTTCACTCCGAACAGTCTCAATGTCTTCGAGTTCCCTCTCTGGCTCTCTCCCGCTTGAGCCCCTGCAATCCAATTAATTAACACCAAAATTTTATAAATTAATGTAGAAACTGAAATCGAGGCTTTTTAAGTTTTTATCGAACCAACAAAAAAATTGAAATTGAGGAATCTATAATGGATAACTGCATAGACTTTAGGCATGTTATTTCCCGAAAGGAACAAGACTTTATTCGGAAGCGAATTTCCATTTCTGGTACTGCTTTACCACAATGACACGTCACGTTTATATATACGAATTACATTGGTACTGCAAATCGTTGTCCCGGTCACATGAAACAATTGTATATGATTTTAAATAATTAAATATATACTCTACACAATGTTTGGTGATGGTTGTGGCCGTGAGGGACTTGGTTGATGTCTTATAAATCGAATTTAGTAGATAAATGCATATATTCGGAACATATAGCGAGCCAGTGCATGCCGTTTTGGTTACGGTCCAATATAATGATTAAAAATAATGTTGAGTATATATACACGTAGTATAAGTATAAAATTGTGGAAAATTTGAAAATGGAGAACGAGCAGGTGTAAGGATACGCAACAAATGTCACGCAGTGTTGATAATACGAATCCGATTCTGTTTTCTATGGGCTTCCATCATTTATTTATTTTTACTTCTCTTCTTACTTTAAAAGAGCGTCGACCCTCACGCGCCATTACAAACTCCAAACAAGATAAAGAGTTTTTCAATTGGGTCACGTAACTTCAAAATATTACAATGAAATAGATTTAAATTTTTACTTTAGATAAATTAAATATTGCAGGATTCGTTAAATTTTAATTTCGTTATATATCCAATATGTGCATGGAACTGAATATACGTTGACAAAAATTATAAGCGACAAAATAGAATTTTTCTTCCAATTTTGATGAATTTTACTTTTTATTAGTAATATTCAGTGGATTAGTTAAAATTCAAGCTAAATGTTTTGGGGACCAGCAGTTTCATAGACTGTTTTAAATTTGGTTTTTTTAATTTGTCAACAAATGTGGTTGATAATTACTGATATTTTAAAAATAAAAATATTTAACTTTTTGTTTAGAAGAAAATATATATCCGACTTTTCATAAGTTTTAAGAATCAGTTTAAACTTCGGTCAAAAAAATCTTTCGGTTATTAAAAACTAAAGTTTATCTATATAACTAAATAAAAAAGGGTACCTGCATGAGGATAATGGAGCGAGGCATTGGATTGAAGATGGCGATAAGATTCGGAGGAGGAGGAAGAGTCGCCGCGTCTTCTCCAGCCAATGAAGAATCTTCTTCCGTCAGCACGGTGACGATGGAAGAGAACAACGTCGCCGGCGTCAAGATGCTTCTCCTTGACGTATCTGCTCCATCCTTTGGTCAAGACGTAACTCTGACTACTGTTCCAATAAGAGTATCTGAATCTCCATGGCTTACCTTCCTCGTCCTCGAAGCAGAGGAGAAGACCCTTCTCCACCGCGTCTGCCGCGGCGGCGGCGAGTGGGAAGTATCTCTCGGCATGCTGTTTTGGGATAACAAGGCGGTTGAGTTTTCCGACGTCGCTTGGGGTTAAGGGTTTCTCGAAAAGAGCTTCTTTTTCCTCCACGACGTCGTTTTGGTGGTGGTGTTGCTGCTGCTGTTGTTGCCACATGAGAGAATGGTAGTGGAAATCGCTTGAGTATTGGTTTATTGACATTTGAAAGAAAGAGAAAGAGATGACGAATAGTGATGAGAGAGAGAGAGAGATGGCAAATATATTTTGAGATACCAATGCTCCTTTAGGGAGGTTACATGTATCTGCCTCTATTTATAATATGTATACATATATGTTACAATAAAAAGAGAAAATTATCTATAATCCTATGATAAATCAGATGTATATAGATATATGTAAGGTATGACATATGCTAGTGTAATATAGGTATAATTGGGCATGAAAGTTTCATATATGACGTCCATTGAAAATGAAAAATAAATTTTTTAAATTCCTGATATAAATGTGGAAAGTTCATTGTATTCTAAACACACAGAAAATATGAAAAGGTGGGTGATATTCTTTTTACATATAATTATACAATATGTAAATATTAGGGATTGGTATCGTCCAAAGTATTAGGGATTGTTACCTCCTAATTTTAGGGATTAATGTTACCTCCTCGTATTTTAGGGTGTATATCTTTGGGTTAATAGATTTCACATTTGGTTTTCTTTATATTATGTATGTAGGTACATACAGTATCTATATTTACATGTGAGATGTGTTTTGTCGGGATGAGGCACATGTTATCGCATTATCCTTCATTTTCTAACTTACTACTAACCTCTCAAGCACGTGCTTTCCATTCACCACCCAACAAATCATCCAATTATCTCATTCTTAAATTTTAATTATGTTAGTTTTGTTATACCGACATTTGTAACACATCATTACATATAAAAGCTTGTTTTTTACCTAAAAATTCTTACAATAAAATTTACTTTATTTCGTTGTAATTTGAATTGTGACCTTACAATTTTATAGGGTAGAATTGTATATATAATTCCAGAAATAGTAAGGTAGGTCTATTTTATTTCTCATTAGTGCAGATAGAAAAGTAATGCAAAAAAAAAGGCAGATCCATGGACCAAAGCCTAGAAAAGATCTTTTGTCTCTTAACCAAGAAGATTTCTATGTACAGCCTTTCCTTATTTAGTTTTTTCATCACGTGCATGACACATCTCATTAATGTTTACGTATTGTTCATAAAATTTCGAAAATTGTTTGTCTCTGACTATTTTTTTGTTAAATGATAAAAATAAACAAATTGATCAGTATAATAAATAATTACAAAAAAAGAACACCTAGCTTTGTGTTTCCAAAGAGAAGTCGTGGGAGAGATAGAGATAAGATCTGTCTTCAATTGTCTGCTCCTTCTCTCCTCAGTCGTGTTTCAATCCTCTCCTCACACTCTCCCCTCAGAAACAAACATAAAATAAAACAAGAATAAATATTTCATAAATGTATAATGTATTACGTAAAACCCAAAACAAACTTTTCTAATTTGTTACTTGCTTTTTGTTTTATATGTCTTTCCGACTACTTTGTCCTCTTTGTTTCCTTTTTCTGACATATTTATCACAATCTGCCATTAGTAGCTTTTCTCATGACATTTTTTCTTATTATGCTAAATTTGAATTTGTATGGTCACAAGTTATCAGGCTATGTATATGTTATAGTCAACAAATTTACTTCTTAAAATCTCAAAGGTTATTTCAATGCATCGATCGAGTATTTTCGTTCTTAAAATCTCATGTTGAAAACACTTCCGGATGTTGAATTCTAAAAACCAGTTAACACTAGGACTAAGTTCTATTATACATTTTTGATAAAGAAGTTCTATTAGAGTATTAGACAAAACATCTGATAATGTCAAAAAAAAGAAACAAAGAGAAGTTAGGATGAATAATAACTCAATATTAGAGGCTTGAATGATTAGTAACTCTCCTCAAATGATTCGTATCACCTTATTGCTTACAATTATATTTTGAAAAATTAAAATACAACAATCATGTGAATTCTACAATAAATGTATGTTTACATTGAAATCAACCATGGTGAAGTACTGATAGTAGGTAATCGGTGAATCAGTTACTGCTTACCCAAAAGATAGTGCTTTGGCGAGAGGGAGACGGCAAACCAACGTCGGCATGAAACACTTTGAGTAATATATACAAAATGGTAAATTATTGGTCTATGATTTTACTGTGTAGTTCTATGCAAGGATTGAATATATTGCTTCTTTTTTTACTAAATAATATCTTCAATCCTTGCATAAAACCATAAAAGAAATCGTTGAACCAATAAATTAATCACCATTTATATTTTTTTCATTTCTATTTGAAAACTGTAGGATACACAAATTTTACATTTGTCAAAAATTCCGATAATCATTTTAATTTTTAGTTTCGAATTTAGGTCATAAAGAAAAATTTTAAATTTATAAAATTATCTTCTTTTGATCACTTGGATATATAGATTTCGGTCTAAATGTGTTTAATCCATGACTTAGTGTCTAAAAAAATTCCATTAAAGTGATTGCAGAAAACCGATGTCAGAGGGATATGCTTCTAAGATTAGATTATAATGATTTCTAACTTTGATTTTAAAAAATTTGAAGATTCAGATATTTGATATTCATTAGTAAAAAATAAAAAATGTCTACTGTTTGAACAAAAAAAATGTTGTCCAAAAAAATATTGAAACTATTTTTTTGTTATGGTTTTAACAAAGGAAAAAGAACGGGAAGATACTACAGCCTCATTTCCATATGTAAACAAACACACTGATCATTTTAGAAATTCTAATTTTGTGTGGTGTGAGCTCAAGTTCGTCATTCTGTATACTACAACTTTATTAAATTGGTGATAAAGAAATGCAGCTGACATTAGAACGATTTATGTAGAACAACATATGTCATACATTATCAACAACTTGTTTAAATCTATTTAAACAAAAAAAAACTGATTCAGAAAAAGTTGTCCACCAAAAAGTTGTTAATTGTGGATATTTCTGTACTTTATTTAATAAAAATCGGTCAAGTGATAATGGGTACTTCATCCTCGATCGCCGCGAAACTTCCTCAATTCCCAAGTAGATTCATTCTATCTGGTAAACCCTTTTTCTGCACTTCTACTACTGACATCAATGTCTCTTCACAATTACACTTTACCTTATGTGAAATCATTTTATAAGAGTTAGACAGTTTTTACATATGTATCAAGAGAGCTGTTCTAAGACACTATAAGTCTGTAACAAAATGAACTTAATTTCTTCCCTCAATTTTGGTTATATCCGATTTTTGTACGAAAGTATTAATAGCAAATTTGTCTGATTGTTTTGCCGGAAAAATTGACGACACGTTTAAAACTAGCAACGTTCTTCTGAAGTTTACGATCGTGTCACTTGACTCGATTTTGTTACTTAAAGATCTTTCATTTTTTTCAATGAACATAACAATTATTGACAAAATTAAATTTCACCTAGAAAAAATATCTGTGATATGGTATTTTCAAGCAAAGCGAAATAATAATCAATATAAACTTTTAGGTTACAATAAAAGAGACAATAACTAAATCATCTTCAAAAAACATATTTGATATATCACGCATCATTTCAGACAAACGTACACTGCGGTTATTCTTGTAACAAATGCTATCTTATTATATTAAAATTCAACGAAAAAAAAATAGTATAAGAAAGGAAAAGAAAACAGTAAGTAGAATAGCAGAGAAGGAACATGGATCCTTGACGAAAAATCAAAGAGGGAATCATAAATAAATAATTATAGATAGATAAAAAGAGAGACAAACAAATTCCAAGAAATTGTAAAATTTGAGGAGAGATCTTTGGATTCAGAAAATAAAAATATGAGATTAATTGCAATTTGCAAGTGAATTGAGTTAGACTAACAAGCTTGACCATGCACAAATGTTGTATATGCTTTACGCTTATGGGTATTTTGCTTTGCTGTAGACAATTTGATTCCCTTTTCGCAATTATTGTGTTCCCGTTTATGATCCCGATGACTTATTTTATGACAATACCAATATCTATGATGCTATTTTTAAAATATAAAAAAGTTTCTGTATGTGATACACACGACGTACACAACTAAAATCTTCATGTTAAACTGTGACGTAAACCTATACTTTTTAAATACTATATAAAATTATGTTGTATATATTAATTTGAATCACGATCCAATAATTCGGTTAGGTTAAGTTAACCAATAGTTGGCATGAGCAATCAGATAGGATTTTGGACCGGTTATAAAATTGAAGTCTCTTGGATTCGATTCAAAAGTTTAGTCAATGTAACTATTTTGAACTAATTTCACAAATTTGACTCAAATATTGACCAAAACATCAATCGACGACAAACCATAGCTAATGTTAATAATCTTTTTTTTTAAAAAAAAACTTTTTAGACAAAAATAGCTTTTGCTATCAACCAACTAGATATGGTGTGATGTTCTATAGTTGTTGTGTCTTCATTAAATCTTATTTTAATTGAATTTCAAAGTTCTATTATTGGAATAACTGTTATATATTTCTACAAGCGTCATTAGAAATTAAAAAAAAAATGAACTTTAAAGATAACCGAAGATTAGTCGAGTCAAATACAACAGAGTTTTTTTTTTGCTCAACAACTAATTTTCATTACTCCAACTCTGTTTTCATTACACTTTGAATTAAACCGAATTATAACATTAGATTTGACGTTTTAACTTTTAACGTTCATCATATGGAGACGGAATATAAAAATATTTAGCCTTCTAAAAGAATTCAATTTTAATAACTATTTTTTCTCAGAAATACTATATAATGTTTTAGGAAAAAAAAAGAAAATAAGTCTAAAAAATGTTTCTAACATATCGAAAGGTCATGTCTTAATCTCTTTTTTATAAAAGTGTAGCATTTGTTAATAATATTTAATTTTTTTTTTGTATTGGAAAAGAGAAAAATAGTAAAGTCCTATAATGTTAGCCTAGCGCTAACCAAGCTGTGATGCAGCAGCATTTATCAAGTATCAACCAATGTTGATTCATGGGTCAAGTGAATGGAAAACACTTTTTGTAAATAATATATTTTCTTTCTCATTTGTTTCCCAGAGTTTTTTTTTTTTTATCATTTGAAGTCAAAGAAAGTTAAACCCTTTTCTTATTATCATGAATATACTGTTCTACGTAAACCGATGAATATCGAAGAAAAAGAAACTAACGGAATAACGATATATATATATATATATATTTTTTTTGAACATAGAATAACGAAATATTAATAAGTATCTTCCTTAAATTCTCTTCTGTTTAGCCAATAGAATAGCTTTGTTACATCTTTGAAATTTGTTAGCAGCCAAAAAGTATCTCCTACGACTATTCAAACTTTTTTTTGGTTAAAACGACAATTCAAACGAAATCAGCATTTCGGCTCTTAATTAAGTAAACCTACATTCATCTTAGTAATATACGATATAATTAAATATATAGCATCAAAATTTAAACATATAATGACAAAAAAAACCATTATGATAGAAGTAGCTAGGCTAGTATGCCCATGTGCCATTACATACACCTACGTCTAACTATGTGTGCACTGTGCATGTACATTTGTGTACATATACACGTACAGAGTTTTGATCTGAATTAATTTAATGTAATAATAGACAGGAAATCCAAGTATGATTTAGTAGGTATCTGACACACCTGGATTAATACTAGAAAAATATTTTTAAGAAGGGATATGAGATCATCTTTTACGAGTTCTTTGCACTTAGACGTAATGGAGTACAATACAGATAATTATGCAAGAATAATGTATGTTTACTGACAGACTGACACAAATGAGATGTCTTAAACAAATGCTGTAACTAAGTGTGTGATTAACTTGATATGGTCAGGTCAATGTTATTATATATTATCTCTACAAATATAATAGTGAATACTATGGACAAGAGTTATGGATATACCCCAAAATTATAAACATACAGTATATATAATTAGCTTGAAACTTTCTGGCCAAATTTTGATACTATATGATCCGATTGATACATGGATCCTAACTTGGGCCTGTTGAATACATTCTCAGTCTTATTGTTTTTTTTTTTGTTGAACTAAATCTTTAGTGAAATATCTTGAAACTAAAATTTATAGAAGTTCAATTATGTCCCGTTTGGCGTATTGCAAGTGAAGAATCTGATCCAAATTCGGATTTCTTATTATAAGTTTACGTTCTAAATATAGTGCCATTTTAAGCTTGTCCAACGAAAAATATTACTTTTTGTTGTAAAAAGATTTGCTTAAAACGCTTTTAGTTCAATACATGTAATAGCATCTATTGTATTAGACATCTCCATCCATGAAAACCTCTCAAAATATCTTAAACAAAAAAATATTAATATCAATACATGTAATAGCATCTATTATATTATAGTTAAAATCTATAATTATTATTTTTTTTAAAGAAAATGAGGATATAAGCCAATAAATGAAAGATTCCATTAAGTTTATTTTGTTCATTTTATCGGATGAAAGAAAAAAAATGCAAAAAGTATACAGCTTATTGAAATATAGAACACTATTTTCTATTTATAACTGGTGTTGAGAAATGTTTCAACTTATACAATTACAAAAAGGCTCAGGATTTCGAATTAAAATTATTCAAAATAGATGTTCCACAGGTTTTGGAGTTAGGCTTCAAGCCTTGTCTCAACATCTCACTCCTCAACTTAATTGCCTTCTCCATTTCTCCTGACACACAACAACCGTGTATCAGGGTATTATACGCTACTCTATCAGGGATTACGCCTTTTTCCGTCATCGAGTCCCATAACTCAATCGCTTTCTTCACATCGTTCTGCTTACATAACTCATAGATCATTGTTGTGTAGGTTATACAATCAGGGGAAACACCATTGCCTGTCATTCTTGTTATGAGCTCAGAAGCTTCATTCATTCTCCCTTGTCTACAAAATCCACGGATCAACATATTGTATGTAGCAGCGTTAGCTAAAAGCCCTTTCAATATCGCATTATGGAGTTCCACAGCTTTCTGCATATCTCCTTGTCCTTTGGTGAGAATGTCAAGAAAACAACCGTATGTTATTTGGTTAGGAACCACATTGCCAGGCAGCATTTTTGAACATAAAACCTCAGCTTCATTTACAAACCCGGCTTTGCATAATCCGTTGATAACAGCAGTGTAAGTGACTTCATTAGGTACACATCCTTCAGTTATCATCAAATCCCATATCCCAAATGCTTCCTCGAAATCTCCATTTTTGCTCTTTGCATCAATCATACTTGTATACATCACATCATCAGGTTTGAGTCCTCTATCATGCATCTCCTTTAAAAGTCTAAGAAACATCTTTCGATCTTTGTGCTTTAAGCTTCCATCTATAAGAACACCATAGCACACAAGGTCCAAATTCACCCCTCTTTGAACCATCTCCTGACAAATGCTTAATGCATCCTCCAATCTTCCTTCTCTACAAAACCCGTGTAATAGTGTGGTGTAACATATCTCATTCAGCTCATGGTTTCCCTTGTGTAGGCCATCCACAAACTCTTTGGCTTCCGAAGCTCGACCTGTTAAACATAGTCCATGTATCAACGGTCTATAGGTATATGTATCCGGTACAATACCTTTATGGATCATCTCATTCAGCAACTCAAAGGCTTTAGCAATGTCTTTTTCGCAATAACCCTCGATCATGACATTATAAGTCACTCTGTTTGGCTCAATGTTCCATTCTGCCATCTCACTAAATAACCTTACAACATCACAAATCAACCCAGCACGAAAAAGACCGGAGATAAGCGTTGTGAATGTATAGATACTCGGAGCGATACCTTTCTCGGTCATCTCATGATAGAGCCTAAGAGCTTTGTGTATCTTCCCTTTGCTACAATAACCACCCATCAGTGACGTGTATGTTACCACCGTTGGCTTTAACTTTTTATTAATCATCTCCACCATGACACTCTCTGCAGCACTAATGTCACCAAACTTGCAGTGCCCGTTAATCAAAGAATTGTATGGATAAACACTTGGTTTTAAACCCGTATCTATCATTTTCCCAAGGAAATTAAGTGCAGTGGCCAGTTTCCCTCTTCTACAAAACATATCTATCAAAATTGAATAAGTCATATCATTCCCGCATAACCCAAGTTGTCCCATCCTATCGAATAACAACTCAGCTTCGTCAAACTTTCTGCCTTTGCATAGCGAGTCAAGCCATGCATTATACACGAAAAGTTTAGGCGACACACTACTTTCTGCTATTCTTTTAAGCAGGTTAAGCACCTTTTCATTCTTCCCCTTCTTCCTTAATCCCACTACCAAATTTAAGACTGCAGCTTCACTAGGACTGAAGCTCAAACGTAACATCTCATCCATCATCTCTAATCCAAGCTCAAATTCATGCACTTTACATAACCCGTGGACTAAGGTACAATATGTCACACCATTTGGTTTCAGCTCCTTTCCGGCTAAACTGTTCTTTATCTCAACTGCCTCCCAGACCTTCTGATTCTTACAGAGCCCACTTATCAAGACATTATATGGAACTATATTCACATCAAATCCAATTGCCTCCATACGAACAAGCATTTCTCTAGCTCGAGAGAGATCTTTCAACTCACACAAGCTATGTATCACTCCTGAGAACATGTATGCATCAGGACAAATGCCAACATTGATCATATTGTCAAACATCTCCACTGCCAAACCAAAATGCCTACAATGAGCTAAACCATGTAAGAGAGCACTCGAAGTTCTCACTTCTGGAAGTAAACCAATTTTCGTCATCATCTTATATACCAAAACCCCATCTAAAGCTCTCCTACTTCGTACATAATGCTGAATCAATAAATCAAAACTCGAGCTTGAAGTAAGCTTACAATTTTTGTAACAGCTAAAAAGCACATCAAAAACCTCACTTGGCTTTAGGGCACGAAGCAAAAGCGTCTGCAACAGAGATGATGCAGGCCAGAAGAGATTAGCTTGGACCAAAGCGTGGATCAAGATGCAAAAAGACGTTGTTGAATGGTCAAATCCTCTGTACAAACCAAGAAAATTGAAAAACCTCAGACCTAATCTGGGATCATCTAGGGTGCCGATCAAAATCTCTTCAACATGACTAGGCTTCAATCTCTTCGAGACGAGCTCCCTGCTCAATGCGATCTGCCAGCTCTGTTTCCCTCTCATAATTTTGTTGATGTCATCAACAAATTGCCAATCTTCAGTGATTCCATTTTCTTTTCGAACCGAATTGACCACAGGGCTTACATTTCTGCAGTTATGGCAAAAATGAGAGCTTGATAGTGATCGAGTCGTCCGAGGGAGCTTCATATAGCAGCTTGATATCTGGCACCAGCTCGGGTACAGTCTGGATTAAAAAGGTTTAGACCAATTTCAAATAGGTGTTAACTAAATGGGCCAAATTTAAATGGGACTAAATTACATGGGCCAAGGCAGGAGCGGGAAAGGATAATCTCACAACGAGATTAAAGTCCGGCAAAAACTGATTTTCCAAAAGAATCGGTGATTTATTTAATCAACGAAAACTTATTACAAAATCGGGCTTAAATTTAAGCCCAACTGGAGTGGATTGCACACAGATTTTGCTATTATTACAAATTGCAGAGAAGATGAAGAGTCTTATTTATTGTGCAGCTTCCCCTTCTAAATAATCTAGTTTGTCGATGTGGGACAAACAAAAACCGACCTTTAAAAAAAATGTCATCGGTATATATATATATATATATATATATATATATATATATATATAAATAGAGAGAGAGAGAAGTAATGGTTTTGATTTGATTTAATTCTCTTATACGAAATCAGACCTGAACCGAGATTGTATATACATATGATGAGTGACAACGTCGACAACACCGGGACCAGAGATCTGAAGAAGTTTGGAGAACCATTGTTGCTCATAGAATCCTCCAGGAGCGACAAGCGAAGGTTTGATGAGAATCTTTATAAACTTTATTGATTATTTCTCTAAGTACAATCAAGTCTTTCCCGTAAAGCTCTGCGCTCACGCTTGCACCAACCCCACTCCCGCTCAGCTCATTTCCTAGACCGAGAACAAAAAAGGTAAGAAAATAGGGAGCTAGAGAAGACGACTTTTTGAAAATGTAGTGAGATATCTTCTAGTTGCTGTTACTGAATTCCCAAGAATCTATAGCGTAGCCCTTTGAGACTGTGTAGTTGATGAAATCTTGAGTGTTTTATGTGATTCCACGCTCCTCCCCACGCAGTTCCCTGGAGTTTGTGTCTCCCGTGCAAAGCGTTTAAACTGAAAGTCACTATACCTCTGCCCCAAGAAAACATGAAAATTCAAGATACTTCATCTTTAAGGGGCAAAGTGTGAATCTTGATGAACGAAACCAAAGCCGAAGGCTTACCCGGTTTCGGTTAGGAAATTGTTGAGCTCATTCCATCGTTTCATATGCAAGCATCCTTTAGAAAATCCAAACAACCCACTGTTCATTTTTCTGAATGGACGACAATGACTTTTGAGATTTCCTGCGTCGTAAATCACTTGATCTTGCAGTGAACCGCCGATTCTTATCCTCAATGGCTTGAAGGCTAAACAGACACAAAACTCCAAACCACTGCAAGTTTCAGAAATCAATAACACACGAGCAATGGCACGAAAAATTTCGATTTGATGAGAGGTGCAAACCTTGAACAGCTTTAGCAAGAAGAGGACGAGATAAGTCCTGAAAAACATTCAAAAATGGCACAAGAGTAAAATTTATCAAATAAGATACATAATCGGTTAGACTTTCGATTCGACTTTCGATTAATATACACTTATAATCATAATGATTAGACGCTACATTTTAGGTTTAATTGTTATAATGATGCTTTTACAGGCTAATCACTTTTTCTGATAAAGGCTAGCTAGACTTTATCAGTTAGACTTTCGATTGGACATATAAGATCATATACACTCAACCTCAGAAAAGAAATGGGTTTAGAGCTAAACCCATTTTCGTTGATGCTCTAAGAAATGGTTTTAGACTTTATCAGTTAGACTTTCGATTGGACATATAAGATCTCTTAACCCATTTTCGTTGATGCTCTAAACCCATTTCTTATATGCTCTAAACCCATTTCTTATACACTTAACCTTAGAACTTTAGACTTTCGATCTTATATGTTTAATATACACTTAATAATCATAAAGGCTAGACTTTATTAGTTACACTTAATAATCATATCAGTTAAAAAAATATAAGAAGTGAGCTGACATGTTTTTTGTTTTTTTTTAAAGCTGATATGTAATATGATTAGGTTTATTATAGTTTTTAAATTACGTTTTCAATTTTTTTCCCTAATCGGTTAGACTTTCGATTAGAGCTTGATAAATCTGATAAAGTCTAGCCTTTAACAGAAAAAGTGATTAGTTAAAGTCTAGCCTTTAACTATTAGTGAGATTATGAACTATAAAAAAATCAAACATACATACATCATGAATTATGAACAAATTTCATAAAGAGAATAGTTTCAAAACGTACATATGAATCAAACACAAGGTTAAATAGTAATTAGAAAACCAAAACAAATAAAAGGAACAAATTAAATACTTAGAAGGTTAGAACTAGAAGATGAATTGTGAAGAAGATAACAATTTTAGAAATCATCTACGGCCAACTTTTGTTTGTTTTGTTTTAGGAACTAAGTTTTTTTGTTTTATATATTTTGTTTAAGTCTTAAATTATAATTTCAAAAGCCTACCAGTATAAGCCTAATTGCCTTAGAAAAATCATAATTAAACCCAAAAAAATATAAGCTATTTAATATTAAATTTTAAAACCAGAAAACCCATTCAATTTTATGGTTTTAAATCAAACTAAACTAAAACCGAAATCTCAACAGAAATGAAAACTAAATAAGTTTTTAGGTTATACTATAACCAAACTAAATCACTTTCAGTTTGGTTCGGTTTGATTTTTTTGTTATGGTTTTTTTCTAACTCCTACTTGACTATATAAGAAATACAATTCAAAATGTCACTGTATCTATGTAGTGCCGTAGTGGATATATAGTCAGATAAAAGGGAAAAATAAATAGGTTGAGAGTAGGAACCGGAAACAAATAAACAACTGCGATACACATACAATAATGTTTGTTAGTTGTTAACTCAAATGAAACAGTATGTATATATGATTTTTATTAATTTTAAAAATTAAGAACGTGAAAATCAGTATTTTTAATCAAAAACTATAATTCAGCTGCGAAATATATATAAAATGTGTTCCATACAATATGTTAAAGTTTTTTTTGTTAATTTTTTAAAAGTGACATTTATACTATTTATGTTATCCCAAAATCAATAATAATCTACAATGAACTTACTAAAACAATATATCGTCATTTGAAACAATATATCGTCATTTAAACAGGAAAAATATACTATATCGTAGTAAGTTCAACTGTTCAAGATAAAATAAATTCACAAACGTAATTTTAACTAGTTGACTTTGTTTTCGATAGTTCAATCATGCTGATGTGAATCATTGTTTGGCCTTTCCTTTTGGCAATCAGCCTTTTCTTTCTGGATATTATATAATAAGCAATTATTTTATTTAACACAAAGCTGTATAACTATAAACCTAATCGACGGCTATATGTTAGACTAAAATTCAAAGGAACCCTTAACCTGCTGTTATAAGGTTGTCCATTCCTTGTTGTTTCTGAAATTAGTTTTAAACTGTGAATAATGTCTTGTTCTTCATTAATTAAACTTTTTTTTGACTAAAATTTCCTGGTTTTCTAACTCATATAACTTAGTACACTTACTTTACGAAAATGTGACGAACTCACGAAGATTTATGCATATCTCATTCTAAAACGTCTGTATATATCCTTACAAGTTACTACCTGTCTGCTAGTGAAATATAGATTTATGCTTAATGTTTCTAATATTATACGAATAATGTATCGCCGACCCTTTCTGGTTTAATTTTGATTACGGGTGATCTAGAAATAAGAAAGATGGAATGATTTCATACATTTAAATATTTAATAAATAAATAAATAGAATAATCTAATCAATAAAAGCTGCACAAGAGGTCAACATGGGTCATTTCTTTCCTATAGAATTCAAAGAAGTTTAAGAACACAGATTTATAAAAGAATAACTCTCTTTTATTAACCTTTAGAAAAATCACTCAAAAACTAAAGGCTCTCAAATCTCTCTCTCTCAACTCATAAATATTTGCAACAACTCTGCAACTCCTTATATAGAGAATGGATTAGCTAACTCCTAATTCCAATAGATAAACAAATTTCCTTTTAGATAACTCCTAAATTTCTTTTTAGATAACTCCTAAATTTCCTTTTAGATAACTCCTAAATTTTCTTTTCTAATCCTAACCTTCTAAAAACACACTTTGATTAGGATTAGGAAACTTGCACTTCAAGTTTCTTTCAAGCTTATTCCAACAATCTCCCCCTTAAGCTTGAAATCTTCCTTAGAGACATCTTCAACACCAAAATTGAGAGTTTCACGCAAATACCTCAAAACCTGCTTCAATGCAGCTCCATGTGACTCCTCCATGATTACTTTATATAAACGATTATTTGATCTGTTTGCCTTCATAAAGAGTCTTCCATCTTGATCATGTAATGTCAGATAATCTCCTCTCATCCAAACATCACATCCAGCCTCTGTTGCTTGTCCCAAACTGATAATATTACTCTTTAAATCTGGTATGAAATAGACATTAGCAAGCACTTTTTCCCCTCCATCTTTACTGACAAAGAGGATCGATCCTTTCCCCTTTATGTCTATCTGAGAATCATCGCAGAATCTTACTTTTCCTGTGACCGTCTCGTCAATCTTTGAAAAGTAATTTCGGTTTCCAGTCATATGGTTACTAGCACCATTATCCAAATACAAACATTGTCTCCTTCACGGCTTTTTTCAAATTCGTTTGGCTTCACCTTTTTTTCATTTAGATACACCACCTCGTGCATCATGAGTCGTTCAGCTTCATGTGTGTCATCAACGTCATCGACTTCCTGAGTCTCTTGAAGTTTGAGAAGTCTGTCAGGGCAATTAGAAGCGTAATGCCCTGTTTTGTCGCATCGATAGCATGTTATCTCTGACAAATCTCTGGCTCCATTGAATCGTCCACGACCTCGTCCTCTGCTATAGAAGTGTCCTCATCGACCTCTGCCTCTATTCTCTCCACTGTAGTCACGATTTTCCTGAGGTTCCATGTTTGCGTACATGAGCTTGCTTTGATCATCTTGTGTTTCTTCTTCTTCTTCTTCTCGAATACGTTCTTCGTAGGCTTTTAGTCTTCCGACTATGTTTTCGAAGCTTGTGGTGTTCAAGTCTAACACCTGCTCAAGTGAAGCTACCATGTGTATATATTTCTTTCTCGGAAGACTTTTGAGAAACTTCTTGACAATCTTCGGTTCCTCAATAGTCGTTCCTAAAGCAGCCGACCTTGAGCAGATTTCGGACAATTTGCCACTAAAATCATCTATCGTCTCTGTGTCCTTCATCTTGAGTTTGTCAAACTCGGCCATAAGAGTCTGCAACCTTGCCTCTCGCACCCTTTCTGCTCCTACATGTCTTGATTTGATTGCATCCCATACCTTTTTCGCCGTGTCTAACTTTCCTACCTGTAGAATGAACGTCTCGGGTACTGATTGAAAGATCAGGGCCATAGCAACATCGTTCTTCTCACCATCAGCCGTCTCTGTTTCAACAGTCTCCCAGACCTTGTGTACTCTGAGCAAAACCCTCATCTGCATGGCCCATACAATATAGTTGGTTGAGTTTAACATATGGCAATGGATTGAGGAAGTATTCAGTGCTTTTGTACGAGTACTAGGAACGATATCCCCCATATCTTGAGCAACAACCTGAAGCTCTGATACCAATTATAGAATTCAAAGAAGTTTAAGAACACAGATTTGTAAAAGAATAACTCTCTTTTATTAACCTTTAGAAAAATCACTCAAAAACTAAAGGCTCTCAAATCTCTCTCTCTCAACTCATAAGTATTTACAACAACTCTGCAACTCCTTATATAGAGAATGGATTAGCTAACTCCTAATTTCAATAGATAAACAAATTTTCTTTTAGATAACTCCTAAATTTCCTTTTAGATAACTCCTAAATTTCTTTTTAGATAACTCATAAATTTCCTTTTAGATAACTCCTAAATTTTCTTTTCTAATCCTAACCTTCTAGAAACACACTTTGATTAGGATTAGGAAACTTGCACTTCAAGTTTCTTTCAAGCTTATTCCAACATTTCCCGCCCTCTTACGTATCTTTGTGACTCCTTTGTTGTGACTTGTGACACATTACATGGTCACGTATGTCTGTACGCATTTGATCTTCATCACTTTATGTTTTTTACATGAAATTTTTTACAGTTTCTATCAGTAATTGCGACTGTACCTTTTTCCCGTAGATCTATCGGTTGTACTTTTATGTTTTTTCCGTAGATGTGATGTGTGTTTTATAGATCAAAGTTCGAATGGGAAAAAGGATGCACTCGATACTTACTATTTTTGCTATATGAAATTACGTTAAAGGTTTTTTCGTTTTAATATGTTAAGCTATTTGGTAGTAGACGACAAAAAACAAAAGATTTACAGTACGTTATATGAATATATGATCAGAACTTTTCTGTGGAAATTAATTATCAGAATTCAGAGCGCTACGGGTAAGCACTCATTTCATTTTCGCACAAGAGATATTTCTTCTGTTTACCTTTTAAAAAAAAAACTGTTTCCTGATTCATTCGTAGACAAATAACACCAATTTTTAAATAATGTATAATTTTTCAAAATTAAGGGTACAGTCTGTAGTCTGAACAGAGTATACATACTTTTCCAGTGGATAATCGAATGCATATGTGGTGATGCTTGGGCTAATTATTCTTTGCATGGACTTTTCTTATGTAAAATTTCAAATTTCGTCCCAAAATTCATTTACAATCTCCACAATGCTGTGTAGTTTTATTTTATAAATAATCTATCTAATAAAGACATGAAAAAATGAACGACTATTTTAAAAATTATAAACTGATAAATCTTTCACATGAATTAATTTAAATAAACCATACAAAAAGAAACAAACAAACTATGTTGCGACATATATTTGAATAAACTAAACAACGTACCTAATAAAATGATTAAGAAGAAAAATTCATCTAACCATTTGGTCGCCATAATGTTTTTTCGGGGTCAATTATCTATTATCTACTGAAGAAATGACGTTAGAAAAATATCAAGTTGCTTCTGCGATTTCACAGCACTCATCAGCAGTGGTATTATAGTAATAAAAGTAAAAAAGATGGGCTATTTTGGTAGAACAATGTCTTTTGACGCTCTTATATAAACCCCCTTCATTGATTAATCAAATATCATCATTAAACTAATCACTCGCAATTAGTAATAATCACTCAACAGTCCGTGAGCAACCACCGGCAAATGGCTATCTCCTCCACCGTAACGAATTTAATCTCCACCGTCCATCCCGACATCATAGACGCTCACATCCTCACGCGCCTCGACGGCCCAACCCTAGCCTCCGTCTCCTGCGCCTCCACACGCCTTCACGAGCTCGCATCCAACGAGATCCTCTGGTCCAAAATCTGTTGCTCCACGTGGCCTTCCGTTTCCTCCTTCTCCGATCTTACTCGTTCTTTTTTTTCCGACGTTTATTCTGTGATCGACACCGTCGGTTCAGTCACTGATCTCGACCGTCCGTTTCCCGAGTTGATCTCCGCCGTCGATTTGCACTACAGAGGGAAGGTAATTTTCAGTAGAGTCGTGAAGACGGAGACGACGACGGCGTGGTTCCGGGGATCGCCTCTGAGGATCGATCTGGTGGATCCGAAGGATACGGTGGAAACGCCGATCAAACGAGGACGGTGGACGGAAGACACGTGTCGAGATCTGGATCAGGGTTTGACTTTGAGCTGGATCGTGATCGATCCGATCGGGAAGCGAGCGGCGAATCTGTCGAGTCACCGGCCGGTGTCGGTGGAGCGGAACTGGATAAGCGGGGAAGTGGAGGCGAAATTCGCGACGGTGGTGGGATTGGAATCGCCGGAGGAGACGGTGGAGTGTGTGATCACGGTGGTGACGGGTGGAGAGGAGGAGTTGCACGTGAAGGAGGTGAGCCTCAAGGTGGAGAAGATGGAGGGAACGCATTTGAACGGGAAGGACAGTTTGGTCATTTTGAGGAGGGTAATGGAGGGTAAAAGGGGAAATGGAAGAAGGAGAGAATTGGAAGCGAAGAGGAGACACGAGGAGTTTGTGGAGAAGAAGAGAGAGAGGAAAGAGAAGAAGCTGAGGGCAGAATTGGTATTCGACATTTTAACAGTCGCTTTTGGGATTTTAGGCTTTGGGTCACTTGTTGGGTTATGCCTTTGGTCTCGGTGACTTCCATCATTTTTAGGATATATAGTAGATATATACTATCAATCTAGAGCCTTTAGATGAAACATAAGCTTGACAAATCTCTTTAAAACATAACTTCAGTTACATTTTCCACACCATAATACTTACATTCTCATGATACACAAAGAACAAGCCACAAACAAGCACAAGACACAAACATATGCATAAGGAATCTCTAGATCCGTTCCAATCTCAACACGCGGTAAATATCAAATCAATGGCTTTTTAGGGAAATGGCAGAGATGACAATGAGAAGGATGAAGAAAGAAACCGCGATAGAAGCGGCTACAACCGCGGTACTCACGGCCTGGCAGAAGTCTCCAAACTGCTGACAAATAGGAAGCCAATTGGTGTTTGCATTGCCGTTATGTGCGAGGTAGACAATGGCTGCTGCCGCAGCCGCTGCTGCTGTGTTGAGCGTCACGACCACCTTTACATATAGATAACCACAACATTAAAGAGAATGAGTTTATATGAAATTTATATTATTTTTGTTTGTGTTGAGAATAGGGTTCATAAGTGAACTTACGGTATCGGAGATGAGGAGGATGAGCCGTGGCGCGACAGCTTGTGGACGGACAATAGATACGATGGAGAAGGGAAGTGAAAGGAGGAGATAGCCAGCGACTATGGCTGTGGCTATCACAAAGAACCTTCAAAAACGATATGTTTCATCACTAACCGGACTATCTTAAAATATTTAACCGCGCGAACATGACTTGACTTACAAATAATTTGAATTTAACTATATGATTTCAGAAAAAAACTATAAAAAATTAAGAAGTATGTTTTACCGTCGTTGGAGACATATTATAGATGCATGTATTTATTGTTTCAAAACATGATGCATATAAATCCGTAATCATATGTTAAGAAAATGAAAATGGACATACTGAAATGTGGGATCGTCATCGTAACCGGCTTGGAACTGTAAGAACTGAGTGAAGAAGGGAAGAGTCTCCTCGGCGGTGAACATGAGAGAGGAAGCTGCGATGGTGATTCCTATGGCAGCCAAACGGAGGAGGAAATCGAATATGGCCAAGCCTCTCTTGTAGCCGCCTCCTGCGGCAGCTGCCACAAAGCCCTTCTTCTTCTTCGCGTCCACTACGACATGGCTTCTACTTTTGGTCACGTTGCTCGGCTCGCCGACGTCAATGGTGGTGGAATCTTTCGTCATATTCTCTCGTGCAGTTGGGGATTAAATAAAGACAAAGTATGTGTATGTATGTTTGTGTGTTGAAATGCTTTGTACTTGTGGTGTGGTGAGAAACTAATGGGAGATGGACAAGTGGTTATATAGTGCTTTGTACTAGTGACGAGGTTTTTTTGAGTTGTTTTATATTGAGGTTAGTTGATTTGTTAAGGTCCGAGAAGAGGAGTTGTTGCTTCTTACTATTCTCCACTTGATTAGGTTTAAGCTAACAATTAAGTCAGAGAATTGTTTGGGATATCATATGTAAAGTGTAATGAAGTTGGCATCCGTACGCATGTAAATAGCTGAATTATGTTTAGTTTTTTCCATGCTAATAAGAGCATGTACATCAGTGAACTCCTAAGAAAGGGATTCACCAGAATATAATAACATTTTTTTTTTTTAGTTTTGTTTTTTTTTAATTCGAATATTATAATTTTTGACCAATCAGAATGCTTCATTTTGGGATGATACCGTCTCTTCAGGTTCGTCAGGATGATACTGTCTCTTTAATATTAAGATCTTTTGTCTCAAAAACTGTGCCATGAACCTCTCTTGATCCTCTGATGTATATGCTCTAATACAACCGAACTTTGTTAATTGAAATGCCTAACAACTTTCAAGGTTTATTTTTTTTCGCCAACTAACTACTTTCAAGTTAGTTATAGTTATCATCTAATGAAAAAAGTTCTGGATCCATCATTAATTGTGTATGTCCATGTTGGAGGTGAAAACCGCACCCCGGTTTTCTCCGGTACAAACCGAGATCGGCAAACCATAAGCCTGGTTTACGAAGGGACGTACCGAGAAAAGATGGGCCGAACAAAGATGGGCCGAATACGGCCCATCAGGCCAAGGTCGGTGAGAAACCTCTCGAAGAAATAGAGAGTTTCCATGAGCTCGGTCGAAACAGGAAAGTTTCCTAATGGAAAAAGGAAACTTGGGAGAGAGAAGGAAATGAACCGAGAGAAAAGGAAACTCCTCTCGGTCCCATATCGTCTAAGGCGGGCTTGAAGACCGACTTAGGAGATATATATAAAGGGAGACGAATCGACACCAGAGAACACAAGTTATTTTCCCGAGAAGACTAAAAGACTGAGAACTCATTACGATAGCTTCTTAGTCGCATTAAGTCTTAGTTCGTTATTACCTATCGAAATAACCGAACTCAGTTGTATTTTGCTTGATTCGATCTAATAAAACCAAGCTTCCGATCTAAATTACTGTTTAGTCCCTTATCGATATTTGCATATCAACAATTGGCGCGCCAGGAAGGGGGAATTAGACAGATTTCTCAGATTTTAGATCGGGCTTCGGAAAGATTGAATCAACGATGACGGATCAAACCAACGTACACGAAGAAGGAAATCCTCTCGGAGGAGAGAATGCCAACGCCCCAACCGGGCAAGGAGGAGGAACTTCTGGAGAAAATGCTGGAACTGCAGCCGGCCAGACTCCCCCAGGAGGTTATGGAACCGAACTGCTACTTCAAGTATTTAATGCCCAATTCGAGGCCATCAACAAAAGAAGCGAGGAACATTTTAGTCAGATGGCGGCGCAAATTGCCGAACTCAGTCAAACACGAACTCCTCTCCGAGTTCGGAACATCATTGACGATCTCAATACCGACGAAGATCCAGCCGGAACTATGAGGTCAACCGCAGCCGGGTCAGCGAACGCACCAGCATCAGATTTAAGCCGAGACGCCGAGTTCGAAGCAATGAAGGCGCAGCTTCGCGATATCACCTCAAAGATACATCAAGCCACAAGCGCGGCTCCGGAAATCGAGCGCGTCATACAGGAAACTCAGAAAACTCCCTTCACATCGCGCGTAGCAGGAACGCCGGTCAAACACATGGAGAAACTAAAGATAAAAGTCTATGAAGGCAACTCTGACCCCCGACACTTCTTGACATCGTTCGGCATCTGCATGAACCGATACCAATTCAGGTCCGCCGAGGAAAGAGACGCGGTTCAGTGCCAACTGTTTGTGGAAAGTCTGGGAGGAGTAGCCCTCGACTGGTTCTCACGGCTCGAAGCCAATTCGGTCGACAACTATAAGGAGTTAACAACGGCTTTCGTCAAATACTTCTCCATGTTCATTGTTGATTACACCAAGAAATCCGAACTCTGGCAAATAGCTCAAGGACCAAGCGAGAGCCTTCGCGACTTCATCCAGCGCTTCAAGACGATCGTCGCCAATTGTACGATTAGCGATGAAGCTGCTCTCTTATGTCTTCAGAAAGGAGCTCGGATAAAGACTAGCTTCCAAAGCGCGATCACGCATAACCCTCCGCAGACGTTAGAAGATGCGTTGCACCGAGCTAATACTTACATTGCTGAAGAAGAAGAAGAAGCTGCGTACGAGCAAAGTTACTCAACTAAGCAACCCGAACGTCCGAAAGCCGCGACTAATGAGCCGCAGTCAGGATACGGTCGAGGATACGAGAATCGCAAGAAGTTCTACGCAAACGCAATCCAACAACCGAACAAGCAGTGGAACAATAAATGGGTCCGCGGTGACGAAGACCAAGACGAGTCATTATTCTGCGAATTCCACAACCGAAGGGGCCACAGCACCGAATAATGCAGGCATCTGCGTGAATATCTACTCGGCCTATATCGCAAGGAGCTGATCTCGGTTAACGAACTCCAACGCTCAAACGCATCTAAGAGCGGTGGGCAACTCTCGATTGACGATCTCCGTCGTTCGCACATGCCTCGACCAAACAACGAACAGCTTGAGAAAGCACTCGCCAAAGATCCACCAAATCCACTGGCTTTACCGACACTACCACCGCTGCCACCGAATCCACCCTGTTTTGCCCGAGCAACAGAAACGGAATCGTGATGACCGAGCACCAGAGAATCACGCTCCTAAGGCGCGGAAACGTGTCAACATGATAATGGGGGCCATCGAAGCTTGCAGTTATTCGGTCCGAGCCATCAAAGAGTACAGCAGATAGGCCGCCAGCGCGCCCAAAGCCCCGCATGATCCGTCGAAGGGAACGCCCTTGGTATTTACCGAGGCCGATATAATCGGGCTGCATAAACCACATAACGACGCCCTCGTTGTCGAGCTGCTCCTCGACGACGTCGAAGTTAGCCGCATTCTGGTCGATACGGGCAGCTCAGTTAACGTTATCTTCAAGGAAGCACTTGACCAACTCGAGTTGGCATCAGATAGGATTGAACCGTTTATCGAACCACTTACCAGATTCGATGGAGAACGTTGTATGACGGTCGGCATGGTCAACATTCCGATCTACGTCGGCGGAGTATCAAAGATTATCCAGTTCCTTATCCTCGATAAACCGGCGATCTACAACGCTATTCTCGGAACACCTTGGCTACACGCAATGAAAGCAGTCGCCTCGACGTACCATCAATGCCTAAAGTTCCCGACTCCCGACGGTGTTTACACTCTCCGAGGAAACCAAGTCGTTGCTCGATCGTGCTACATAAACGAGTGCAGACTTCATTCGGCCAACCAAGCATGTGTTATTAGCTCGTTAGGACCGACTGACAAGCTCATCGTCCAGAATACAAAACCTAAACAGGAGTCGATCGTTCAAGTTTGCATCGACGAACTAAGGCCAGAACGTCAAGTCGGAATCGGCGCCGAGCTCGACCCAGTCATCCGCGAGCCACTCATTCACTTTCTAAAACAGCATTCATCGACCTTCGCTTGGTCGGCAGAAGATATGCCCGGGATTGATCCACAGATCGCCTGTCACGAGCTCAACATTGATCCAACGTATAAGCCAATCAAGCAGAAACGCCGAAAGCTCGGACCAGAGAAAACACAAGCCGTGAACGATGAGGTCGAGCGTTTACTCAAAGCCGGATCCATCACCGAAGTCAAATACCCAGATTGGTTAGCAAACCCCGTCGTCGTAAAGAAGAAGAACGGTAAATGGAGGATCTGCGTCGACTTTACCGACCTCAATAAGGCGTGTCCGAAAGATAGCTTTCCGTTGCCTCATATCGATCGCCTCGTGGAAGCAACTGCCGGGAACGAGTTACTCTCGTTTATGGACGCGTTCTCCGGGTACAATCAGATTCTTATGCACCCGCAAGATCGGGAAAAGACATCGTTCATCACGGATCGTGGCATCTACTGCTACAAGGTCATGCCCTTTGGCCTGAAAAATGCTGGAGCAACGTACCAACGACTGGTAAACCGGATGTTCGCAAGCCAGCTCGGGCGAACTATGGAAGTTTACATCGATGATATGCTCGTGAAGTCACTCGTCGCCTCCGATCACGTCGGCCATCTTCGCACATGTTTTGATATTTTGGATCAGTATGGTATGAAGCTGAATCCAACTAAGTGTACGTTCGGCGTGACATCTGGAGAGTTCCTCGGATACATTGTTACACGGCGAGGCATTGAAGCTAATCCAAAGCAGATCGCCGCTATTCTCGAGCTCCTGTCACCGACAACCAAACGTGAAGTTCAGCGACTTACCGGACGGATCGCAGCACTTAATCGATTCATATCTAGATCGACGGATAAGTGCTTACCTTTCTACCAACTTCTTCGCGGTAACAAGCATCTCGAATGGAATGAGAAGTGTGAGGAAGCCTTCGCCGAGCTAAAGAAATACTTGTCCACTCCTCCAGTTTTATCCAAACAAGAAACCGGCAAGACACTTTATCTTTACATCGCGATTTCAGAATTCGCAGTCAGCAGTGTTCTCGTTCGAGAAGATCGCGGCGAACAGAAGCCAATTTTCTACACAATCAAGTCCCTCGATGGATCGGAGTATCGCTATCCGACTTTGGAGAAATTCGCCTTTGCCGTGGTCATTTCTGCACGGAAGCTACACCCGTACTTCCAGTCTCATGCGATCGTGGTCCTAACCGATTACCCTCTTCGTACTTTCCTTCATAGCCCAAGTCAGTCCGGACGACTCGCTAAGTGGGCTATCGAACTCAGTGAGTATGACATCGAATACCGATGCAGAACAGCAACGAAGTCTCAAGTCCTAGCAGATTTCTTGGTCGAACTCCCACCGGAGCTCGTCGAAGATAAGCCAGTCGTACAACCCTGGATTCTTCACGCCGATGGTTCATCGTCCCATAAAGGATCCGGAGTCGGAATTCGTCTAAAATCACCCGAAGGAGAAGTTATCGAGCAGTCGTTTCGTCTCGGCTTCCCAGCATCCAACAACGAAGCCGAGTACGAAGCATTGATTGCTCGACTACGACTCGTCAAAGGCATCGGCGCCGAGCACGTACACGCCTACTGCGACTCTCAACTCGTGGCTAACCAGTTTCACGGCGAATACGAGGCCAAGAACGACCGCATTTACGCATATCTCAAAGTCCTTAAGGATGTCGCTTTGGAGTTCTCTACCTTCGAGCTTACAAAGATACCTCGAGATGAGAATGCAACCGCCGACGCCTTAGCTGCTCTCGCAACTAATTCCGATCCTGACCTTCGACGAACCATCCCAATTGCGGCAATTGAGCGACCAAGTATCGAGCCCGCTCCGAACTGCAACATCATTACAAGACGACATGACTACGAAAATCAACCCAATCTCGCCCCACCACTCACCCGGAAGACGAAACCCAAAGAGGTCATTCCCGATCACGACAACGATACGGACGAGCTCAATGGTAATGAATCCGATCCCGAAGACGAATCTGAAGGACAACACGTTCCAATCGATATCGAGGCCGAAGGCGAGGACGAACCCGAAGATTGGACCTTAGAAATCATGGGATACATCGGAGACGGAACAGTCCCTGCGGATAAATGGGCAGCTCGGCGTCTTAAGGCTCGGCCAGCTCGATATGTGGTCATTAAAGGTACTCTTCTCAGATGGGATGCTTCCGGTGTACTTTTGACTTGTGTTCGCGGCAACGACATCATGGAAGTAAAGCAGAAGGTTCACGAAGGAGAAGGAGGCAATCACTCCGGAGCTCGGTCTTTAGCATTCAAGATCAAAAAAGCTGGCTATTACTGGCCCACTATGCTTTCTGATTGCGAGAAATATACGGCACGCTGCGAGAAGTGCCAACGTCATGGTCCGATGATCAATCTTCCTACCGAGCTCCTGATGACCTCGACCGCACCATATCCTTTCATGCGCTGGGCAATGGACATCATCGGTCCCTTTCGCCGATCTACAACCCAGAAGCAGTATGTTCTGGTCGTCACGGATTACTTCACCAAATGGGTCGAAGCTGAAGCATACCCCGAGATCCATGGAATTGATGTCAAGAAGTTCGTCTGGAAGTTCATCATCTGCCGACACGGAGTCCCGTACGAGATTGTTACGGACAACGGAACCCAGTTCACTTCGATCATTTTCCAAGATTTTTGCGCCAAGTGGAAAATCCGACTAAGTTTCTCTACCCCGCGGTACCCGCAAGGAAACGGACAAGCCGAAGCCACAAACAAGACCATCATTGACGGACTAAAGAAACGACTCGATACCGCTAAGGGAACCTGGGCGGACGAACTTGACGGCGTCTTGTGGTCTCACCGAACTACACCACAACGTTCAACCGGTCAATCACCATTCTTCCTTGCATATGGCGCAGAAGCTATGTGTCCAGCCGAACTCAACGTCCCAAGTATTCGCCGAACTATGCTTACCCAGCAACCCGACGCGAATAACAACATGATGATCGACGCACTCGACTTAGTCGAAGAACATCGCGAACGAGCATTGCTCCGGATACAGAACTACCAACAGCTTGCAGCTCGCTACTACAACAAAAAAGTTAAGGGCCGTCACTTTGAAGATGGAGACCTCGTACTTCGCAAAGTCTACCAAAACACAGAAGAGAAGAATGCAGGAAAACTTGGCGCAAATTGGGAAGGACCGTATCAGGTTATGAAAGTCGTTAAACCCGGTGTTTATCAACTTATGAAGTTAGACGGAACTCCGATCCCGTGATCTTGGAACTCAATGCATCTTAAACGATACTACTACTAGTTCGTTGTGAGCTCCAAAAAAAAAAAAAAAAAAGCCTCCGAACTACTTAGTCGGAGCAAAAAACACTTTTGTACTTAGAACTACGAATGGCTTGATCCTTTTAAAGGGTACGTAGGCAGCTCGTTACCGAGTCCAGCTATAACATCAATAAAGTTTTATTAAGTCAAATATGACTAAGTTTTAGTTCGGAAATCACAAGGGACCGAACTCCTTGTCTTTACATCGACTTCCTGGCGCGCCAATTGTTGATATGCAAATATCGACAAGGGACTAAACAGTAATTTAGATCGGAAACTTGGTTTTATTAGATCGAATCAAGCAAAATACAACTGAGTTCGGTTATTTCGATAGGTAATAACGAACTAAGACTTAATGCGACTAAGAAGCTATCGTAATGAGTTCTCAGTCTTTTAGTCTTCTCGGGAAAATAACTTGTGTTCTTTGGTGTCGATTCGTCTCCCTTTATATATATCTCCTAAGTCGGTCTTCAAGCCCGCCTTAGACAATATGGGACCGAGGAGTTTCCTTTTCTCTCGGTTCCTTTCCTTCTCTCTCCCAAATTTTCTTTTTCCATTAGAAAACTTTTCTGTTTCGACCGAGCTCATGGAAACTCTCTATTTCTTCGAGAGGTTTCTCACCGACCTCGGCCTGACTCTTTGTTTGGCCCATCTTTTCTCAGTACGTCCCTTCGTAAACCGAGCTTATGGTTTGCCGATCTCGATTTGTACCGGAGAAAACTGGGGTGCGGTTTTCACCTCCAACAGTCCAACTTGAGCCAAAATTTTCATTAAGTCATCGTATGAAAATATTGTTTGTCGGACCTCCTCTATTGTCATTGTTGTATTCGTGTTCTTCTGTGTCACCGTCTGATACAGGCGTTCATCATCCTTTATCGAATGTAATTTTTTTTATTTTTCTTTTTTGGTAATGGTCCTCCTCACTTTCCCCTGTCGTTATCATCGGGATCATGTTTGTCAGAATCAGGTTTGGGTCGTCAAACGAGAAAAATGATTAGGTGTGGTTAAAAACAATTCTATAAAATTTTGTAGAAATTGCGCTCATGTGTCGAAATAAGGGAATTTGTTGAAACTTTGTTTTTCTGATAAAATATGAAATCTAGTAACAATTGATATGTAGTTTACAAGTGATCTAGAGTAACTTCACTGTATTCCGTTAATCCGTATTATTGGTTACAGAATTACAAAAAGACAATCTATAATTTGATAATTACGTTTGCTCTTTGATATCGTTGCGGATTGCCCATGAGAGAATAACTTAACATGCACTACGTAAGGTACGGTCTAGATCACTTAGAACACCGGTGTGGTGCCGGTGTCTTCCAATTTCTAATAATCCTCGAACAGGATCTAACTTGACCTGGATCGTGACTAATGACTTTTGAGCTGAATCGCTTGTTGGATTTTGCCTTTGGACCCATTGACTTCGATATTTAGGCTATACTATGAAACGAGAACCTCTATATGCATCGGAAGCTTTTAAGCTGAACCAAGACAAATTCCACTTGAAACATATAAAACTCCAGTTACATTGTCCACACCATAATGAGACCATATACATATCATCTCATGTTACACAAAGCACAAGCCACAAACATATACATGAAGAAAGATCCATTCCAATCTTGACACGCGGAAAATATCAAATCAATGCCTTTTTAGGGAAATGGCTGAGATGACAATGAGAAGAATGAAGAAAGAAACCGCGATAGAAGCGGCTACAACTGCGGTACTCACGGCCTGGCAAAAGTCTCCAAACTGCTGACAAATGGGGAGCCAATTGGTGTTTGCATTGCCGTTATGTGCGAGGTAGACAATTGCTGCTGCCGCAGCCGCTGCTGCTGTGTTGAGCGTCACGACCACCTTTACATATAGATAACCATAACATAAAAGAGAATGAGTTTATATGAAATTTATATTATTGTTGTGTGTGTGTGGAGAATAGGGTTCATAAGTGAAGTTAGTTACGGTATCGGAGATGAGGAGGATGAGCCGGGGCGCGACAGCTTGTGGACGGACAATAGTTACGATGGAGAAGGGAAGTGAAAGGAGGAGATAGCCGGCGACTATGGCTGTGGCTATCACAAAGAACCTTCAAAAACGATTTACATTTATATATTTCATTACTAACCGGACTATTTTAAAATATATAACCGAACATGAGTTGACTTACAAATAATTTGAAGTTAACTATATGATTTCAGAAATAAAAAACTATAACAAAGTAAAGAAGTATGTTTTACCGTCGTTGGTGACTTATTATATACGCATGCATTTATTGTATTAAAACATGATGCATAGAAAGTTATAATCATATGTTAAGGAAAATGAAAATGGACATACTGAAATGTGGGATCGTCATCGTAACCGGCTTGGAACTGCAGGAACTGAGTAAAGAAGGGAAGAGTCTCCTCGGCGGTGAACATGAGAGAGGATGCGGCGATGGTGATTCCTATGGCCGCCAAACGGAGGAGGAAATCGAATATGGCCAAACCTCTCTTGTAGCCACCTCCTGCGGCGGCTGCCACAAAGCCCTTCTTCTTCTTCGCGTCCACTACGACATGGCTTGAACTTTTGGTCACGGTGCTCGGCTCGCCGACGTCAATGGTAGTGGACTCTTTCGTCATTCTCTCTTGCAGTTGGTGTTAAAACTAAATCCAAAATGTGTGTGTTTGTGTATTGAAATGTTTTGTATTTGTGGTGGGAAACTAATGAAGATGGGCGTGTGTTTTATAGTGCTAGTATTAAGCAGTGATTGATTAGGAATAATTAGTAACAAATTAATGATAAGCTTGTTCGATTTTGAGCTTAGTTGATTAGTTAGGGTCCGGGAAGGGGAGTTGTTGCTTCTTTCTTTTGTCTTGCTAAAAATTCAAGACAAAAGAAAAACTAAAAACATCTTATCCAAACTAATGAAGTTGGTATCCGTACGCAGCTAAAAGAATTTAATAACGTGTGATATGTTCATTTTATTCCATGCCAATTGTAAAACCAACCAACCTTTGTTAATTGAATGACTAACTACCTTCAAAATATTTAGATATTTTCAAGCGAAGCACTGTTATTTCATATAATTGGAATCAGCATCACCACCCTATCATATAGGCATGTAATTAGTTAGGTTTAAATTCAGTCAAACCAATCCTTTTAAAAAAAAAAATCAGATCTACATATCTTTTATATAGTACAAGTTTTTGATAGTGACGATGATTTTAAAGACGTTAATCCAATTCTGAATCTTGACTCTACTGCATATATTTGAAACGTTGCTATTTTAAAGGTTTTAATGTACAATGTTTGAAGGACGTTTGATAGGTAAATATTTCCGTTGATACCTTGATGAAATATTCTTTTGAACAAAAAACAAATCTAAGAGCCATAATTTCGGTAACTACGTTCTTGAACGTTGGGATTTGATATCTATCTATAAACGGTCACTAAAAAAAACAAAATAAAGAAGGGTGTAAAACATCTTCCTACCTATCTCACATTACAAATCAGATAAGAGAGTAAAAAAAAAAGAAGACCAAATGGCTAAGAGTATCCCAAAGCGCTTCAAATTCTTCGGAAGAGTCTTGGTCATCACGGTCACTTCACAAGCCTCAGTGATCAACCAATGGATCCGCACCGTCCGCTACTTCAAACGTCGTCACCCTCTCGTCGTCGGAGTTGGCGTACAGTGGACTCCGGTTCGCTTCGAACCGGATCCTCTACCGGATGTCCTCCACTTATGCGTAGGTAACCGTTGTCTCATCATACAGTTGAATCACTGTAAACGCCTCCCCGACGTACTACGAAGTTTCCTCGCAGACCGCGAGATCACTTTCGTAGGCGTTTGGAACAGCCAAGACAAGGGAAAGCTCGCGAGGTGCAGCCATCGGCTGGAGATCTGGAGGCTACTTGACGTTAGGCTGTATTTAGCTGCGAGCCTCAAGAACTGTTCGTTTGAGAAGATTGTGGAGGAGTGTTTCGGTTACGAAGGAGTTAGGTTAGATAAAGAGATAAGTACGAGTGATTGGGGCGTTTGTGTCCTTTCTAATGATCAGATACTTCAGGCGGCAAAAGATTCCTTTTTTTGCTTCAAGCTCGGTGTGAAGCAATGTCTCTGGCAAGTGTGAAGTGTGCGTTGATCTTCTTCTTCTCTTAGGTTGTGTTGCAAGGTTCAGAATTCCTCCAAAACTAATCTAATCACATGGTCATTGATATTTTGAGCAACATTGTATTTTTCAACGTCTCAGATTTATTCGGGTATAATAGAAAATGGCTCTCGGAGAGGATGCATAATGGTCTAGTCTCGTGACCACCTTCGCATAACCATCCATTAAGTTCACCACTGGTTAGATGTTTGCGATTGCTTAATCGTGTTTGAACCGATCTTTTAAGGTGTGATAACAAAAAAATTTACAATATGTATGTGTAAAATAAACATGTACGACACAACGAAACATGTGTCCGTCTTTAATTTTTTACTACATTCAAATTATGCTTTGTTAATTAAAAGCATCAGCTAAACAGTCAAAAGTCAAAACCATACATAACCTGGATTATTATTTAGGATTCTTTTTAGTCAGCACATTACGATTATGCTATAATCATGTTGAAATAATGGGTATTTACTTATTATTTTTTTGAAAATTGATAAGCTCGTCATTGTGCCCTTTTTTTTGTTTTTTTGTTTTTTTGACGGCATATACGTTTGTTTCTTTATCTTTCATGTCAATCGTAAGCCAAAGCCCATTTGTCAAAAGTTTAGGATAATATTGAATGAAGGCACTCGCGAAACAAATGGAAATGGTTGGGTCCACTTTTATAAGTACAAAACTAAACACTTTTTCATTGCGGCCAACCTTTTCACATTTGAATGGGCATTTTGGAAATTTCAGACTTGCTTTAAGTGCGGTTAGTTTAATCTTAGTAAGATTGTAATTGAACTTTAGCCAAATTAGTCATTCTGATTAATTCCATTTGATTTAGTTCGGTTTAGTTCGCTTCAATTATCGAGTTTGGTTCGGTGTTGTTAGCTTCCGGTTGGATTGCATGTGTCTCATATTTTCCATGTTTTAATTTGATACTAGTATAAAGTAATGAATGAATGCGGTTAGTTAATGAATGTTTAACACTGAGTCTCATCATCTATGTATATTAATTCCTTCTTAGTAGGTTTTACGTTTTGCTTAGTCAGTATAGAGCACATTAAAATAGAAAATTTAAGTTAATATTCATGATGAAACAAAATAAAAAGTTAAAAAATCAATCTTTATAAAACGAAGGTGTTTATTCTAAGATTTTGAATGAGGTTATTATGATGAAACCTGTTAATTTTAATTTGTTTGTATGTTTATAAACTTTCTTAACAGATAGAATACTATGTGATTGGAAAGTATTTTCTCTAGTGTTGTTAATTTGCTGGATGGCACATTTCATTGTCATTGCCACAACAATAATGAGAATTTCACATGGCCTTTTGCTTCTGAATAAGAATAAATTAGTTTTGTAAAATTCTTGATAGTGAAAAAATGTATGGATGTTTTAAAAATAACAATTCAAAGTCTACTGTTGTTATAATCATTGACAAATTTCTTCATCAAAATAAGTATTATTTACATAGATAATTCTTTTAACTTGCTCGTTTTAGTTTCATTGTTAAACATGCTTACCAAAACTGCATGTTATTAGTGGTTTGGTATATGGTTATATATAAATTTTCTATAATGTTGATAAAGCATTACTATATGACTTCTACTATACCAAACTGCATGTTAAAATACATATTTACTTAGTTCACCAACATTTTGTTGGCTAAACCCATGTCAACGGATAAAGGAGTACGATATTATTACTGGAAACAAGAAACAGATTATCCTAAATATAAATGGTATCATGAGAGAACAAATGTATAAACCATAATTCATCCATCAACTAATTTGGCTCAATAACCTAGGCCCAAATATATCAACGTGTGTAAATATACGTTACGTTTGTGCAACGTTTATATTAATTTCCTTGTCAAACACAGTAGAGAAGCCACTAATAAACATAAGTTGTTAGGAGTTGATTTTAAAGTTTGAATGTTAATGTAGACATAGCCACAAAGGAGTGAGTCAGATATCCATAAAGAACAATATGATAATATGTAGAAATTAGGTCTGATTCATTATATTTAGAGTATAATAACAATTTGATTATATATATATATATATATATATATATCATTTATGCAATATGGGAGACAACAAAACATACACACACAAGTGGCACTACTTTAGTGATAATTAAGTGAATCTGAAATTAGTAGTGTTCGTATGTTCGATATTCACTTACGCTTATATATTCTAATATTGGTCACGGGTACGTGATACAACAATAAAAACCCCAATTAATGTACAAACGTATATATGTGATTGTTGATAAGTGAATATCGACAAGGGGCAAAACAGTAATTTAGATCGGTAAACTCGGGTTTTATTAGATCGATCAAAAAATACAACTGAGTTCGGTTAATAACGAACTAAGACTTTATAAAACTAAGAATCTAAAGTGTTGAGTTCTCAGTATCTAAGTCTTTTCTGGAATTTCTTGTGTTGTTTGGTGTCTGGTGTCGATTCCTCTTCCTTTATATGTATATGTCTCATAAGTCGGTTTTCGTGAGTCTTTTCTGCGATATGGGACCGAGAGGACTTTTCTTTTCTCTCGGCCGTTTTTCTTTGCTCATGTCAATTTCCTTTCTTCTCGTAAGTTTCCTTTTTCTATTCGAAAACTTTCCTTTTTCCTCCGAACTTAGAAAACTTCTCGGTTCCTTTGAGAAGTTTCTGACCGACTTCGGCTTGATGAGCTGCGTTCGGCCTAAGAATTCACTTGACCCAATATTTCTAGTACATTTCCTTTGTAAACCGGGCTTACGTCGTGCCAATTTCAATTTGTACCGGAGAAAACCGAGGGTGCGGTTTTCACCTCCAACAGTGATAAAACTATTATCAGTCTACCATCTATGGACGGAAACTGTTATTCTTTAGTGGTCCTTTTCAAACTTCTTAAGACTTTTACTTATTACCAATACTCGTCAAGATATGATAGTCTAGCTTAGCATCTCATGTGCCATATATATGTCCTTGAATTCTAGATTGAGAACTTGCGTATTTTCTTTATAAAACGATAGAAATGTGTTTTGCAAATGAACTATCAATCATAATTCTTAGCTAAAAACCACCGATCATAAAAGAAGTGATGAAACTGTAACAAAGAAACATACCATTTTATAGAATTAGAAAATCGTCTCAAAAACATAAAAAAATTCAACCACTAGAAACAAGAAGGTTGTATAGTAGATTTGGTTCCGTTATTTTATTTCCGTTATTTGAATTATCCACTTGAAAGTTTGTGTATATAAAAGAATTACTTATAATGACAGTACAACACAAAGCAACATGAAAAAAAAATCATAGATACATAAGATGGAATTGATAGGTAAGGTTTTGGGGCCCAACAAGTGAACTTTAGGACATCCTTCCTATGTGCAACAAACGCGGTTGGGTCTCACGACATGCCTATAAATACGGACACATTCTTAAGCAAACTCATCTCACAACAAAATATTAAGAACAAAGAGTGAAATATGGCTAATCGCAACAATATTTTCTTTCTATGTTTCCTAATAGGTTTAGGGTTATGCTCTGCAAGACGAGCACTTCTCACCTCCTCTGCATCCGAGGCTGAAGTCGCTGCTTATGGCGGGAAAAGTGGTTTGAATGTTGGTTATGGTGTTGATGTTGGTGTTAGCGGAGGAGCTGGTGGTTACGGAGAAGCTGGTGGTATTGGTGGAGGCGGAGGTGGGGGACATGGTGGTGGTGCTGGCGGAGGTGGTGCTGGTATTGGTGGAGGCGGTGGAGAAGGAGGAGGTGCTGGTTACGGAGGAGCTAGTGGTATTGGTGGAGGAGGAGGTGGTGGACATGGTGGTGGTGCTGGAGGAGGTGGGGGTGGTGGTCCTGGAGTCATTCTCGCAAAGAATGGTAATACAGGATAACTTCGCAC